AGTATTATTAATTCTACTTGATTTTAAATTGTATGAAGAATTTGATTGATGTTTTGTAATTCTTTTCAAGATATCATCACCTAAATCTATACGTAAGGATTATCTAAGGATTCTACATAAAGAGCTCCATAAGGATGCCGTTGAAAAACACTGTATCCAAATAATTAAATAGTAGGATTTAATATCTGTATGCAGTAAAGTAGTCTGGACTTACATTCGTATTCCAAAAGTTAACTAGGACAAGAGTATCCAGACAAATATTCTTTAATAGTTGTGATTGATGCTCGATAAACAAGTACATTGAAACCAAGTGCTTGACAAAACTTCTTCAAGAGTATTCTGTACATTTTGTCTAAGACCGATAATATCAAGTGATGTTTCTTGTCAAGCAGTGTCTACCATTTAGTTTCAATGGATTTATTGCTCAAACCTAGGTTACACGTTTCAAAAAATATTATTATGGATATTGTTAATACTGTCCCAATTGAGATAATCTTGTACGTCTACATGCTAAAATATAATAAGTATACTCAAAAGTATTATAGAATTGAATTCTCATTGCAAGTTATCTCAACTAAGAGTTAAATTTTACTGTATTTGTACAAATTGTATACGACATATTTTATAATAGTTTTGATTCTATTCAAGCTTCAAATTGAATATTAATACAAACGAGAGATAAGCACGCGAAGCGCGCTTGACGACTCGTGTTGCAAAAAAAGGAAACCTGTTTGTGTAAGAAAAATCTTAGATTTGCTAAACGATTTTTTTGTAGGTGTATAAGATATTTTGGAAAATTATCTTGTAATTCATAATTAAGCTATCAACTGTTTGTTAGGACATTATGTATAGAAAATAAAGACCCATCAGTCGGTCTTTATAAACAACAAAGATATTTTACCCTATAAAAGTGGCGAGTATAGTTTTTGAAAAGTTCTATTAATCATTCTCAACTATATAAAGCAAATAGTCAAATCATCATAATAAAAGCCTGTCTGGCATTTCTTGAGAACTGAAAAGAATTAAAATGTAGAAGAACAACATTTCTTTAACATAAACAGGCAAAAGTGTCATTGTAAAAACACAAAAGTGCGCGTCTTTCGGGTGGGAAAGAGAAACAATTCTACGGAGATGATCCTCGCATTGTATTTGAGGTCAGTCGAGAAAGGTATCCCGCAAAAGGACTCGTCTCACGAGAATCGGTGCCTCATTTAGTATCCATGCGTCTAGGAACAGTGACTGTGGTTCAGGTCTAGACTTAACGCATGTTCCGGCGCTCGACAATAAGCAATCACACGGGCTGAATCTTCTTGTAAAAGCGAATTATTGGAAACACGGCAGGGGCTACGCGTGCCCCTCGGGTACTTGTCAAATTTTAAAATTTTGAAAATTTCAAAATTTTAGTTTCCTCAGTCTGTCTATTTCATTCACGACAGGATACTGTGGAAACAGCCTACTGTTACTAATTCTGTCATAAATTATTCGGAAGTAAAATGTAGAGTAACCCAAAGTTTTAATACAACAACGTCTTCTTCCTGTTTTCTAAATAAAATATGCCGTTGCATCCAGAAAATTAAATTTAATTATTTAGAACAATCACTAGTTTGTTTGTCAAGTTACCCTTGCAATACTAAAAGGTTTACCAAATAAATTTGTCGATAAATCGTCAGTGAACAGATTTATTATTAAAAATAAAAATAGGATCTAAGGTTACAATTTTAAGTATTTAAATTTTTGTAAAACTAAAACTTTTCATTTTATACACGTAAAATCTATAATTTTATTTTTAAGTAAAATAAAAATTAATTTTACAAAATCAATAAAATGTCTAAATTTGAATTTTTCAAGAACAAAGAATATTATTCAACGATTTTCAAAATTTTATTTATTTACCAATTCTAGCGACTTTTCAAATCAAATGACACATTTTTATGCGCATATATCTTATCACAAATATAATAAGAAATCATGTCACATTTTATCAAAGATTATCATAAAATTAAAATTTGAAAATTATTGAAATATCAATGAAGTTGTTTCATACATAAGTAGCTAATTATTTTCTTTTTTCACTTTTTATAGGACTAGCATTATTTAGCGCACCTCTAGTCCTCTAATATTATTTTTCTGTTATTTATATAATCATATAAATAATTTTTTTATCTGCTGTCTGTTGGTGCTATGGTAATATTCTGTTATATACGATATCATAATTAGTCAGTAGCAATGGTGTTTAACTAGGACTTTAGTTTTATAAATACCTATTACTATTAGTAACACATTTCAACATCGAATATTTTCTTGTTTCCTTGTTGAAAACACTCGTGAACATCCTTCAAATTTAATATTCTGATAATTAGTTTCCGTTTTCCGCAAAGCTCTGACTTTACAAATGTATAAAATTAAAAATGTAATTTTCTCCATTTTATTCTATTAAATTTTTCTTTTTTCCAATCCCATTTCAAGATAATTTCACTGATGGTTATCAAATTATTCCGGCATAATTTGAAATGATAATTTCTTATTTTCTTAAACTAATTTATTAATTGCATATTTCCATTTTTGAAATCTTTTTTGGTATTAGTTATTCATAAATTGAATTTATTGCTGCAATATAAATTTCACATCCTTAAATATATAATACAAATATTTTCAAGTATACGAAAATTCAAATTTTCGCGCTCTTTCTTAGTACCAACCAATGATCACAACTGTGGATTGTGACGAACGGACACGTCACGTTGCGTCTATAACATATGTATATGACAGGTATGAAATAAGGCGCAAGCGCAAACAGCATATGTACACCCGCGAGATTTATGAACGTCGATAATATAAGCGAAAACGTGTAAATGGTCACTTGAAAATGCAACTCTTACTACGAATATTCAAAGGGAAAAAAAAAAAAAAAACAAACGAATAAAGAAAGATTTATTGCACTACAATAAATCTCGACTACGGCATCTACTCGAGCGCGCCGACGTCTGCGCTACACATGTTGCTCACCTGGACAAATTGCGAGCGCAAGATTGGCATCGGAGCAAACAGCAGAAAAAATGCTCTAAACCGGCAATAAAGGATGAAGCACGTAGGTCCGAACGTGCCGCGAAAACTTTCCCTTTTTACTGCATCCTTTCTTCGAGGCCTTTCTCGAAGAAAGGATGACGCCCACTTCATCAAATGACTGGATGCCGAAAAAACTCTTACTCCTCCCTCTCTTTGGAGGTGTTGATGCTAAACCTACCCCTTTGGGAGTGACAGAGGGGAGCGCCGAGGAGGACGCTCCAGGACAACGACAAGTCAGTCAGAGCAGAGCCCTCACGAGAGAAACTTGTGACATTTTTCTTGTATTCTACATCATTAAAAGCAATTGGCAGTTTGAAGTATCACTGATCTCTCTTTTCATTTGAATTTTCCACGCTACCCAAATTATAAAGTCGGTCAATGAACGCTCTCATTCCTTATTTATCGAGTCACGTTCAAATTCATCCCGCGCTTACAACTAAATACAAATTATTCCTTGTTCGCGCCAACGGCAAGGGTGGGGATGTTACAGGATGTCGTGGCGACGGCATTATTTTTTTAAGATAGAAAAAATAGATAGGATTTTACGATATTCAACATTATATAAGCCAAAATTGACTACAGTCATGAAAAGCAACTAAAGCTCAGTTTTCATAAATTAAAATTTTGAAATTTATTAAAATCTTACATTATTTGAAGATATCGAAAAATGTTGTAAAGAATCGTCAAACAACTAACAATTTTCTTTTTTCCATTATATAATTGGTTTCTTTGAATCTGAGATGACCTGAATATTAGCTATTACGGTAAGTAATCGAAGTTTAATTGTTAGAAAACTGAAATTCTAACAATTATTCAACTTTTAAATTCCATAAAAAATTCATACTGGTTAGATGCAAATAGTCTGCAAAAATTCGGAGTAAAATCTTGTTGAAAGTTTGAAACGAAAGTATAAAATATTCAACAAATTCTCAAAAAATTCGAAATAAGTTCGAAAATCAATTGAAAATGCGAAAAGACAATAAGATTTTTACATTGTTATAGGTTTATAAAATAAGTATAAATTTTTATTATTTGTTATGGAACTTAGTGAGCTTGGTATAATTTTATTCAGATTATTATAAATTTATTTAGAATAAAAATTAGAATAAAAATAAATTTTATAAATAGCAAAGTGCTTAAAACAGCCATCAGCAATAATCGGTGAAGGAATGATGAACTCAGCTTGTTTCATACATTAGTAGGCGCTCTTAGATTGATCGGACTCGACTTACGTTCAGATGTTATCCCACCCACCTATATTTTATATAATTATTTTTATACATATTATTTCATATTACTAATATTATTAGTAATATGAAATATAATATAGATATAAAATAGTAATAGTAGTATAAAATAGATACTACTATTTTATAATATTTCATAGTACTAATTATTTCATATTTGTATATTATATTAATATTTATGTCAAAAACTTGCATAAAACCTATTTTTAAAATATATACATAGTTTGAATTTAAATATTATTTTTGAAAACATTTATTCGATAATAAAAATAAAATTTTTATTATTGAATTTTATTGAAAAAGTTTTTATTATGCATGCATCAAATGAAAATGATATTTTACTCAATTAATCATTTAATGTCTTATCCGCAGTGGCGTACATTATCTTTACGTATAATATTATATGCGAATTATTGTAGATAGGCGAATCAATATTATATTATATATGATCAGATACCGAAATATAAATACCTACATTTTCAACTATAGATTATGAAGTAAGAGCACCACAACTATTTTTTGTGAAAACTTATATGATCAATACAATAAATTTGCAATTAATTAATGTATAATCAATAGTATTTCAACCATCGAAAAATTACGCAGTGCAATAGCAAAATAAAAATTGACAAGTCGAAATTGGCATGTTACTATCCATAAATGACACCTGTCGTTTAAGTAGTGTTGACTGCGTTCGTGGCGATTCCGGACTCTTGCAATTTCCTCGGTCTGGTCTGACGACTCCGTGTCGTTTGCCTGTTCGCTCGCTCGATGTTGTGAGCTACGACAGCCCAAATCGCACTCCAATTACCGGGTTTTCAACGTAAACGTCGCCCAAGATAATAATGCTGACCTACTGTGATAGCCGCGGCGTAAGATACGTCTTGTCCACGGTTTTTTTGGTGAGTTCTTTTTCGTCTTGAGGAGCATTATTAACTTTAAACTTTCTGCTAAAACAGAAAATACATGAAACTGAATTTCACACCTGTCTATCTAACAAGTGCCACGAATCTCTTACGCGGCACCGTTAATGACGAATAGGCGCCGGTCTACAATTTTACATTATTATCGTTACTTTTTATGGATAGATCGATCTTTATTTGGTTTAATGACAGATTGTTTTCATCTTGCAATAACATTGTTTACCATCTGCTTTCCATAACCTCAACTGTACCAACGTTTTAGCTCTAATATTTTATTATGTTTTATGCGGAAAAAAAGATTAATTTATGTAATGTTTTTAGTCACAAATGTCAACACACTTTTTTAGAATCGGATAAATTTTATTTTTTTTTGAAAATCGTGGTTCTTGATGTAATGTCAATAATCAACATATTTGATTATTATTACAGGTATTCCTACAGTCATCATGTGTGAGTGGAGCTGCAATACATCTCACACATGAAAATATTGAAATGACCTTAGGTATGTATTTTTATCTGAGCTTAAGAGCTTCAGAATATATCTGTGTGACCATTTTTTGTACATTCATTACATTTATTAGCTATTTTTATTACTAATGCAAGAAATACTTATCTTTATTTTTTGTTGTAAAAATAAATAACTTTTTTCAGCCTCAAATGAATTGGTGTTTATAAATTTTTATGCTGAATGGTGTCGTTTTAGTAATATTCTACAACCAATTTTCGATGAAGCTGCTGATAAAATTAAAGAAGCTTTTCCAGAGGTAGGAAGAGTTGTTATGGGAAAAGTAGACTGCGATAAAGAATGTAAGTTTTTAAAGAAGTTTACTATTATAAAAATAATCATTTTCTTAAACAAGTTTAAATAATATTATAAGCCAGTTGAATCTATTTTAAATATTTGTCAATGAGCATGAATTATCCATTGCTCAATTTTACTGAAATATCAGTTTTATATAAATCGTTAATATGCATACTTTTGCTATAAAATATTTTTCAAGGTTATCAAGTTTATTAATTTTAATTAAACTACTACTTCTATCAATTTTAATATCAGAATAAATAAACAGTGAACAATAGATTACCAAAATGCAGAAGGTATAATAGAGGTGATTTTCTATTGAAAACACTTATCAAAATGAGTCACAGATTTTGGTTTATTTAAAACTAATGCTTTTTATTTGACTTATAAAATATTTATGTTCATTCCTGGGACGATAAAAGAGTTTGTTGAATATCTTCGAGTTTATTATTTCGAATCATGAACTTAAAAGTATTTACATCAAGAATACTTGATTTTTTTGTTTGAATGTTTTTACCTATTATTTTGTTATCTACGTTGATTTTATTATTTTCATGTGTTATACATAAAATTTTCATTTTACAGCTAAAGTTGCATCTAGGTTTCATATAACAAAATATCCAACACTAAAAATTATACGAAATGGCCAACCAACTAAAAGAGAATATAGAGGCCAACGTTCTGTTGAAGCATTTGTAGAGTTTGTAAAGAAACAATTAGAGGATCCAATCAAAGAATTTCAAGATTTGAAAGAGCTTCATAATCTTGATGATAAAAAGAGAATGATTATAGGATATTTTGATAGGAAAGATGTACCTGAGTATCAACTGTTTAGAAGAGTAGCCACAAATTTGAAAGATGACTGTCAATTCCACGTTGGATTTGGGTAAGAATTGTATAGTTACATACCATCTCAATTGTTTATAGGAGTTAACTAAAAATAACAACCATAAATATTTTTTAACGTTATAAATAAGTAAATAAATTAATAATAATGTAGATTCAAATCCAACATACTGATATACTTTATATTTAACAAGCATATGTTCCAAAGAAAAATGTGATATTGGACAGCATTTAAATTTGTTGTAAGTAATTAAAAAATAACAGTTGTTTGTATAGACAATTTTTACTATAACTTTGTTTTATGTCTTTATATAATATTATGTACTGCATTATCATTTCATTTTTAGATAATGAGCATTTATCTTTAATCGTATTTATTATAAGACAAGATTTAAAATTAATATTATTTTTTACTCATATTTAGTTTTATTTATAAGTTAATTCATATTTATATAATTAACGATAAAAATAATGAATTATACTAACTGATAAATTATTTTTTACTTTAGGGATGCCAGTAAGGCTATGCATCCACCAGGTGAACCAATCATTGTATTCCGATCTGACAGAGCATTGTCAAACGATGACAATGAAACATACAAGGGTAGCTTAGCAAATTATGATGAATTAAACATTTGGGCACAAGAAAAATGTGTTCCACTTGTTAGGGAAATAACATTTGAAAATGCTGAAGAGCTTACTGAAGAAGGATTACCATTCCTTATATTGTTCCATGACCCAAAAGATTTGGAAAGTGTGAAACAGTTCAAAGATATTTGTTCGACTGCTTTGGTTGATGAAAAACGTAACTAATCAATGATAAATGAAAAAATTATTATTAAACTTTAAGAAATTAATATTTATTTATTACTTGATTTTGTTCTTACAGAAAATGTGAATTTCCTTACTGCTGATGGACACAAGTTTGCTCATCCCCTTCATCATTTAGGAAAAAGTGCCTCGGACTTACCATTGATAGCAATTGACAGTTTTAGCCATATGTATTTATTCCCTAAATTTCAAGATATGTTTATACCTGGTAAACTGAAAGGTTTTCTCCAAGATCTGTACTCTGGCAAATTGCATAGAGAATTTCACTATGGGCCTGATCCTAACTCTAATGTAACTCAAATAGTGCCAACAACACCACCTGAATCAACATTTAAAAAATTGGCACCAAGTAAAAATAGGTACACGTTACTTCGAGATGAATTGTAAAAATGGTTGTATTAAATACAATTATGAATGAAACAACAAACTGGACAAGAATTACCATCATTTAATCAGTGCATATAAAAATAACATCTTTTTTTACAGAGATTGACTCTGTTTAAGATAGTGAAATGAAACTATGTAATATGGATACAGTTTTGAAAGACTCAACCAGTGACAACAATTGTACAGTTGCCCTATCAAAATTAATGGGTTTTTAAGCAGAGTTGCATTACAATCATTGTAAAACGCTAAAGTGTTTATTGTCTACGTTGCTTCATATTTAGGGATTTTATTTTTGGAATGGAAGTATGAACCGATATATTTTGTATGTATGAATGAATAAATGAAAATAGATAGATTTTTTTGAGCGTGAAACGCATCTATGTCAATAGCAGAGTTATGAATACTAAGATTATGGTTACAATAACTTTGATTTGCACGATATTCTTCATATAATTAGCATTTTGAAATATTCGAGAAAATTTTCAAGTGACTTATTACTTATATATTTTGCTCAATATTAGAAATATTTGTGTATTTTTAATGTTATTGATGAGACAATTGAAGATAATGTTGAAGAGATCCATCGCTTCCGTATGCCATGTAAAGTTTTCAATAATCTAAAAACATAAGTTATAAAACAAAGAAAACTTTGAATTTTTTGGAAATAAAAATATTTTTTCATTTTGCCTAACCCGAAATGCACATGTCTCAATTTGTATAGAAGTGTTTTAAAAATGTATTTTATACATTTCTCTAGTGTTAACATCAAAGGTTTTGGTAAAGATTTATTTCATTTTGTAAGAATGTGACTTAATTTAATTTTTTGTTTCTTTTAGAGACAATGTTATTCTGTGAATTCTAATCACAATCTTTTCTTATAAAATACCAGTAAAATGTTTAAAAAAGAATATTATTTATAAAGGTAATAACAGTTGCAGATTTATCGAAACAATAAATTATCAAGTAGATACTTGGAAATATCAAACTTTTAATGTATTATTGAACATGTATTCACGAAATTTTCGATTGAGAAATACTTATACATACATATAATAAAATTAGAATGAGAATTATCTTTAATACTCTAGATTTTTGCTACTCATGTGCTGTTCGAACAATGGAACATCGAATTATGTTATTGGCATGTCTACAGTTACTCATAGTAATAGGAATAAATTGTACAGCATATTAAATATTTTGAATACTGATTTTGGTTTTGACACTTCCTTGTATTGACTTTTATTGTTAATGAATTTTTTCTAAGTCATGAATTGATCTTTAACATTTAATATGTACGTCTTTGTATCCTTTTTTTACGTCAATCAATAAAAATTTAACAGATTTACATAGATTTGTAAAGGTAAATTATTCCGTGAACCGACTTTTTTAAATCAATAAATAAATGACATGAATGTTTATAATAAGGTCGATCTAGGTACATATACAAAAGGAAAAGAGTTGACACAGTTGGGTGATAAAATTAGAATAACAATAATTCATCCATTATAAAATGGCTGTATTTAGAAGTAACTCGATACATGTATTACATTCCATTTTAATGTGCACGCCATGTCGTTTCTGCGTATTATCATAATGCCGTGTTCTAATCTTAGGAGACATCACGTTACAAGTATTACATGATTTACATACACGTAACATCACACATACGGCATAACAGACATCTCACTCTATCGCACTTTTCAATAATTTCAAATTCATCACTCTTTCACATGTTTCACGTTGTCTTATGCCTTTTTCTTTAGAAGCTCTCTTTTTCACTTTGACAAAGCTCTGTATTATCAATAATTCTCAACTTTTTTCACAAATGTAATATCTCTTTCTTTTATGTTTGCTTTATTTTCATTATTTTTTGGAATTATTTTTACGACGAAACGTGGATGGAGCAATTGGATTTTTCTAGGTGATGATTCTGGTAACTTTCTAATGCGGCTTTTAGTTTTTTCCTCTTAAAAAATACTATATGCATTCACTTATATTATCTTAATAGCAAATAGTACAATGTGTTTGTTGGTTTATTTAATATATGTTTGACGAAAAAAAGAATGAAGCAATACTAAGTACACATGTCTTATTCTAATTATTCTTACAAAAAGCACGAACGTTTATAAAAAGAGTTCAGTGATTATATATTCAAAATATTATTCTCTGCAATCATGTAAAGAAATTCTTCTATTTTTTTCGCAATAAAATTATAATAAAAATTTATTGCACGTGAAATGAATAAATAAAATTGTATACATCATTTTATAGAAAGGAACTAACAAAAAAATAATTACAACTATTTATCGAATAATTAACATTTTCTTCAGAATTTATAAATACTCCGTCCTTACATAACAAATAAAGCCCACACACCAGCACGTTTCGCCATAATTTGTGACAAACCACAAATTTTCACCTTTAGTATATCTTTTATTTCTTGTTTTATTTTCTTTCTGAAATATACATATATAATTTATTCTAGAAAAAATAACGTCGATAAAGCCGCACTCACGGTACGATTTTTCGATTTTATTAATAGTTAGTTCTGTTATTATGAAAAGATGTCATTACAACAATTTTTGTCTCAAGTAAAAATATAAACGACATATCTTCGTGAACTTACTCGCGCAAGAACAAATCTCTTTCACTTATTATTTTTTTCTTTGTTTCGCTTTGGTTGTATCTATCACTTTTTCATTTCAAACGTAGTTCTCAGGCCCTCGCCACATATGCGCATACGCGCGCGTACGAGGGCGTACAAACGCGTACAAATCGCTAAAAATTTTGATAGTGCCAACAACAGAAAGTTACTACTATTATTCACTATTCCTCGCATGCCCCAAACGTTTGTTCCGGGAGTAAGTGTGTTCGTTTGGGGCATGCGAGGAATAGTAGTAATTTTCTCTATTTGGCACTATCAAAATTTTTAGCGATTTGTACACGTTTGTACGCCCTCGTACGCGCGCGTATGCGCATATGTGGCGAGGGCCTTACAAACTTTTATTCTTATTAGATGCATCACAAGATCGAGCTCGCTTTATTTTTTTCAATATAAGCCTTTTTCGGGTGGCGTTACACAAATTACTTTTCAAAAGTAATATAATAAAAGACATTGTTTTCATTTAACAATTGCCTTATACATATTTCTTGTCTGCCAATAGTGGAACATTACGATACTTTTATATGTTTTCAGTTCAATATTCATGTTTAAGAAATACACACTTCATATTTATTCACTCTAGAAAAGATACACTTTGAAAGTTATACCAAATTTTCTTTCAAATATTAAAAATTATATTTTTACAGTATCGTAATTTTATAATTTTGTACAATATCATAATATAAAAATATAGTTTTTGTGAATTTGTCAACAGAGAAGATAGACAGTTTTTATTGCAAAATAATTAAAACGATTATATTTTCTTGTAAATGCATAAATTATTTTATATATTTTCCTTACAATAATGATATTTTTGTCGATATGTCGTGAAACAAAACATTGCAGAGAAAAAATTTGGCACAAATTTACAAAGTATACATTTGTCTAAATTCCTTTGCTTAGATATATCGTGTACGTAATTACGGACGATTTATCTATCGAAGAGCCTCGAAAATCTGCATTTTTAATTACTCGTAAATCGCGCTTTTGTATCGTCATTATTATCCTTGTGTAATTTACGCTCTAAAATGGTTATTTGCTGATTGATGCTGGATGCTACATTCAAGTATATATGTTTCTTTTTTAGAAGCTAAATCTCAGCTTTAATTTAAATTATGATTTCGCATTTTTTCTTTTTTCCTCATGCGTCATAATGTAATAAAGTACCTTAATCGTTTCTTCCCTTCTTAAGCTTTCTTTGAAACCAATAGTATATTTATAGCTTTTCTTTGTGCTTGATTATTATTTCCATGTTATATGTGCACATGTGAAATTCAATTAGTTTTTCTCTTGCGTACATAGTTTGTATAGCGCCCCAATGTATCGCTGGCTTGTTATCGAACGTAACTTTTTTATATTTTAGTTGCTTGTACACTTTTCAGGTGTACTTGTAAAGTTAGAATGAATTATTTAAAACGAAAAAACGAATAAAGTATAAAGTTAAGTAAACGCGAGTTATAGCAGGTTCCCGCAAGCTTCTTCGATTAATATACTCTGTTCAATGATTTTTTTTCGTTTACGTTTGTTTTTTTATGTCATTAGTTACGTCGAACGATTAACATCTATAACAATTAAGCCATTCGCGATTCTGTTATTATATTCTTTGTATAACATTAATCATTTTTCTATAACATATGCGTATATTTTTTTTGTCCATTTATATCCAATTATACTGTTGACAGTCTCAATTTATTCGCGCAGTTTCCATTTTCTACGTATACTATGCTTTATATATTTGTTATTATTTCTATTAAATGATTAACTAGTACATTATGCTAAAGCTAAGGGCAGAGCCGAAAAGTCGGATCGCTCTTTAACCGTTTTTTTTTGTTTAAACGTTATTTTGTTATTAAAGGAATGCTGTATACGCAAAATTGAGAAAAAGCTATGCGTTTTAGCCATTTTTATCAATGCTTTATGTTATATTTAGTGTTCTAATATTAATTTTTTTCGTCGGTAATCATATTAAAGAAAATTAATATCATAATGAAGATATTTTATGTAATGCACTGCTTTTGTAAGTATATTTTCTCGAAGTAAATATTGAGTTGTTAATGCGATTGTATGTTATCGACTTAAAGTGTTAGTATAGATCATCGTTACTTCAGAAAGTTTTGTCGACTGTGCTTTCTTAAAAGTCAGATGTTTTATGATTATTACATTTTTGTTTATGACCGCTTCAAAGAATTATTTCGATCTAATTAGTTTCTTTTTTCTCATAGCTTTATCTTGTTGCATATCTTGTACATCATTTTCCTATCTTTATTATTTGATTACTTTTGCGTTATGCATATTTTATATCTCATATCTAAATTTATACATTAAATGTAATTTTATATTTTACTTATTATATGTATTATACTTCTATCGAATTTCTGAAGTACTCGAGGTGCATATTAGTATATGATGTTCTTTCGTTTGACCGTAACGAAGAGTTTGAAGATCGGAACAACTTATTTCCCCTAACTTTTTGAAATTCCTTTCCGTAAACTTCTTTATTACCACTTCTTATTAATTACTTCTTTTTCTCTTGGAATATAACTTTAATATAGCATATAAATAAGTGCATTCTGTATATTCAACAGATCGTTTCGTTCCTTTTGTATCCAAAATTGTTGTAAAACATCGCTCACTGTGAAATATTATAAAACAGACTAACGAGTTTTACCCGAATTCATTTTTCCAAAGTGCGGTGTGCGTAAATTGTGATTATTTATAAATATGAAAAGGAATGGAACATTGAATCTATCCGTAGTATCAATATTCAGAGTATCCAACTTTAATAATTCATACCAAAATTTTCTCACGAATTTCGATGAGAAATGAAATTTCAAAGAACAATAAAACTAGTATATTAAATTTTTTTTGCGAATTTAATATGCATTTTAATTTACTTTTTCAACTGAGTTACAACACAAAAACTCTGAATACACGGTTTCATATCTGAAAGATTAGCTCATTACTAATTCGAGTAGTAATTTTCATTCCTTTTCAATTGTAAGGATTTGAAAGCTCGCATTTAAAAAGTCACGATTATTTGATAAGTCAAGTTTAGGATAAAAAAGCATGTTATATAGTTTATTAGCATCTGTGCATTGTATGACATTGCATCTTAGCTATGCACTACATTTCCATATCGCGTAAAAGGTTGTACGTAGTGCCCTGGAAAAAGTTTTTTAAACATATTTTTTAAATACTTCTATTGTACTTTATCACCGTTTAACTTTATAAAACGAACTTTATGATATGAAGGTCGTTATAAAAATAAGGTTAATTAACAGTTTTTTGTAATAATGTATTTGTTTAAAAAACTTTTTTAAGCAGGTGTTTGCAGGAAGACTCAAATCACAAGTACGTAAAATAGAAGTATAATTTTATAGTTGAATTACTAAATGTTAGAACCAAATTGTCGTGTGAATTTAAGATTCATTTAAGGCATATTCGGAGCTTTCCAGAAGAAAATATTCATAAAAATTTTATCACAAAACATGACTAATAAAATGTTCATTATTGTGCCTAAAGAAAATATTAACAATTTTACATAAATTATTTTACATAAAATATTTGAAATTATTTTTTTTATTAAATATTTTTAAATATAACAATTTTCATGTTAAACTAAATCAAAAGATTAATTAATATTGCAAATCGTTATTCGTTACATATTTACAATAAAATAATGGTTTTTCGGACATTTCTCGTGATTTTTTTATTATTATACGATAAAATAAAATTTATTGTTTTATTGAAATTATATTATAATAATTAAACTTTATTTACGTTTAACGTAATAGTAAATTGCTTTGGAATAAATTATAATACCGTCTACTAGTGAAAATGATCAATAATTAAATGAAGAAGAGGATGGATATTTACATAATAACCAATTTATGGATATAGGAAATTCGAAAGCTATAAAAACACAATGAAAAAGTATATTTTTTAATACTTTGTCATAAGCTTTGTTGTCACTGATCGTTTTGACGCGGATTTGTTTTTCACATTTTTCTTATTAAACACTTTGCTTGCTGTCACTCAGGTTAATCGCGGCACGAGTGCTTCAAATAATGCATTTTTTCGTTTGTAATGTTATAAATGTAACTTCTGTAGACATATTTCATCGTATCGGACGCGATGTTTGCTTGATTTATTATGTATTTTTCATATTTTGTTGACGGACTCCCGATATTAACACTTGTAATCTTAGGCCTCAGAAGTCAATAATTTCCTTCAATAGATCACTATAATCTTATTTTTTCAATCATAAATCTCTGTTCAAATAGTTTGTATTGTCTTTAGGACGTTTTACATTTCTATTTGTGACGTGTTGTGGTTTAGTAATTAAAAATCTTGCCTTTGCATATGGGTGGATTAATCTTGTTGATTAACATATTTTTATATATTTTTGATATAATTATTAATCTTCCTCTTTGTGAGGTTTTACTTTTGGTTTTAATGTTGTAAACTAATTATTGAGCAAAAATTATACTAAATGTATTTGTACTAGCAATGATATTTATACTTGAGACATATCATTAAATCATCAAATAGTTCATTCTCTTTTTCGACAATACTTCAAAAAGTATAAACATCATTTAGAATGATTTTTCAATATGGATTAGAAATAATTTTTAAAGCATTCCTTTGTTTAAAAAAAATTGTAATGCATGAAAACCGGTTACTTTAGTGGATGAATACAATGTCTTTGTGAATATATAGAATTTCCCAATATATAACATACGTAAATATATAATCATTTATGAATCGTTTGCATTCCACATAATTTTGTACATTGTCTGTATAGTGGCGATTGAATGAAGGTAAACACAACGCATTATTGTCTAGCTATTATTAAATCTCTTTTCTTTTCTGTTATAACGAATGAACAACAACAGTACTGGCCTTGTTGAATCGATTCTAATGATGTTCTTTTTTTTCAATGGGATCGATATACATACGTCACTTCTACTTGCACTACATATTTTATTCTACTGTAGCGAGGCCTGATTTTAAAATTATTATAACTCTTTTGATGAAATATCGATCCTCGGTCTAGTTCGTCGAGCTAAAGCTTTTCCCTGTATTTCGTATCCGTTGCTTGGATATAGTTGTACATTTAAGCTATTTTACAATCAATGATATACCGCAAAGTGATGTCACTTAGCTATATCTATAAACATCCATATGTATTAATTTGCTATTATGGACTTTACAAGAGTTGCGGTTTATCTGTGTTTTGTCCTTTTTGTTGTTACGTTGAGAACACATTTACAACACATATATATCATAAACTTTGCACTAAACCGAATATTTCTTTTGTGTAGCTGTTTTCTAAATCTCAAATCGAGAGAGGATTCTTGCTAATTTATATGTGCGCGTAGAAAATGATTTATTGTCGGATAATGTTCAATATTGCACTGTTGTCAATTTTTTCATCAAAGAGCTTATTTTATCAAATTTGGAATTTCAGACAATTTTAAATCATTTTCCACTTGCTACGTATAAATCATGCATGCTTAATGCATATATCTAACGATATTTCTTATTCTAATTCTAACATTAATATCCGATCGAATAAGCACCGTACTTTGATATTTTTCTTCAATAGACCTCCTTCGATTCACGCATATTAACGCGTAGCACATTCACATATAACAGCGGGTGCATATATTCATTATAATACATACGTCGTTACAATATTTAGCCAAGTGCGTACAGGAATAAGAACCGTGCCGCGAGAAGCCGGCCGTTGTTTCTCTTTTTGCGTTTTCGTTTTTCCAGACTCGCGCGTCAACAACGTGCAACGGCAATAAAACGGCTGCATTAAATTTATCTTTTCACTTCATTCAATAGAAAAAAAATATACAAGTTTATATATTGTTCTAACGGCGTGAACATTACGTCGTCGATAGAAGCGATATACATACTTTGTTTAACTACTGGAATCATTTGTACTCTGCTCGGGTGTGCAGTACAAATTTGCGGATGAGGAACCTACTGATTTAGCACCACTTTGAATCGTAACACTTGCTTGCTCATGTTTGCTTATCATGTTAGTTTTGTAAGAACGTGAAATATATGACGGAAGGTCATGTTTTATATAGAAAAACTTTGAGTAGATAGAGACTGGGTGTTTTTTGAGGTCATAGTTTTTTTGATTAGACTTTACGACGTTGGAGTAATTTTTTTGTTACCAAGAACCCAACGTTCGTTTTACCTTAGTTATAATAGACTTATACATGCGCCTGTGCCTGAAGTGTGAAATATCCTAAATGTACCGACTAGATTGCTCAAAGGAGACAAAGATAAAAAGATCTATAATGTCAAGTATCGAATAACCTTGATTGGTATGCGCAATTAACGCTGTTTCTGGATGGAATTTTCTTATTTCATTTCCTTTAAATGAATGAAACATTTGTAAATCATTATTATCTTTGCGACTTATGAAACATTTTGTGAGTTTTTATCTGTATGAATTCGTAAATAATATCATAGTTAACGGCATGAGAGTCATAGTTTGATGCAGTAAGATATCTGAAGAGTATAAGTTTTTTTCAAACTTATGCTCGTCTACAGTTGTATTTTACTTTTTTTAATTGTAAAGTTGCTAAACAAAGCTCTGTTGATTGTTTTAGGAGCGGCTGTTTTTTCGACGTCATTTTATATAATTCCAAGTCTAAAGCACATCTTGGGTCGCAGAATTTACGTAGTCATTCTTATATAGGTTATTTTCTTTTTATTCATTTTGGAGAAAACTAGCTGTCGTATTTGTGGTTTAGTAAGCAAGTTTATTTAATAAAAGAACAGTATATAAGATACAAGAAAAAGTACGTTTCTGTGTAATATTCGAAATATCATAGTAATGAAAATATCAGTATATACATAATCAATATAAGTGTAGTTTGTATCATTTATTATATAAAAATAGGTAATTCAATAATAAGTATAATTATATTAAATATTTATATGCATGTAATCAAGCTACACAAAAACGTTCACAATATTAATATATGCTTTGCTCGCAGTCGCACGCTATATAACAAATCGTAAAATTACTTTAAAATGTAAAATTATAAAATAATCATATGGAAAATATTAAAAATTGTAACGGTAATACAAGTATCTTGCCCTAAAAAAATACTATTTTCGTTCCTCTTCATTTTCGCAATGAATATTCGAATTTTCTAGCATGTTTCATGTTGTCTGCACGCATGTGTATATATCCCATAGTTAATAATCGCTATATATTTATACTTTCTCGTATCTCTGCATAATATGATTATGAAAAAATGGCTATTACTTTTTTTTCTTGTGTATATTGGTTTATGAACCTAAAGAGAGGAACTTGACTATATCCGTCTTCAATGTTGCGTCAACTTCGTTCTCGGCTCCGATCTATACAATAGTGCCGTTTTTTCTTGCTTTGCGTTTATCTATCCCGCGTCGCCGTCCTCGTCGTCGTTCGCCGACTAATTCTTCGACGTCAGGATTGTCACGAATTCTGAAACAGTAAGTTTCAAAAAAAAGATAGTAAAGCAAGACAATAGTAAGGAATTCATAGATTAATAGTCGTTCTTCTAGAAGTCTGCCTACCGTGCAGAAGCCAACTTGACGAGCTTATTTTTAAAAGCGATTCGACCTACTTTTACGATTATTGGCCGAAAGCTTTGCGATTGAGTGAGAGAGAGAAGCATTTAGCGCGGGCCACATGGAAGCTCCGCAGCTCTTTCAATGGGGTCAATATTGCGAAAGGCCAAAGTTTGTCCGAAAAGGACCGAGAGAGTAAACGCGCGCGTACGTCGAGGCTATAGGTGCGGCAAATGGAAAGAGCTCAGGATCGATCCTTATGATTTATTGAATTTTAAAACCATTTTCTCTTTCCTAACTTTTAAATAGCTTCGCTGCTTGCCTGCATTTTTCTCGAATGCAATTTATACTGCCAACGCTAGCGCTCGCGTCCCTGCCATTGCGCTTAAGGATAGTTTTACAAACTTATTCAAACTATGTCCGATGCCCCTCGCGTGCACGCGAATTCTACCGGCTACCAAACGTGAATTAATGTTTGGCCATTTGTTCGCGTTTTATATGTGATATGAAAATAACTTTGGCTATATATACCCGAATACTTCATTAATTCGGTATATTGATAGTTTTATTAACTTTGAACTATAGTGTGTGATTTTGATTATTCAATTTTACGTCATGATTTGTTTAACTAATTTGAAATTCGAGTAGATAAAATATTACTGATTCACTTATTCACTTATTACTTATTCTTATTAAGACAATCTTTTCGTAGATTAGATATAAGACGACGTCGTTATCAAACATTTGAAAGCTTGAAAAAAGCTTAAAAAAACCTTAGTATTAAGATCCTTCTCACGTTTCAGTAATCACAATGTCAAAAATAGCTAAACTCAAGTCGAGTAGACAAGCTGAAGCACATTATAATGGTAATCCTAGACGATAAATAATACTATTAGCTTCGCTAAAGTTTATACAGGCAACGACAAAGCAGCAATTCCATGAGCATTTATAGAGCTATAAATGTTCTGTGACCTCCAAAATTTCGGTCATACATACTTGTAAATTCACACACGTTTGCCACGAGAACAAGATTTCATCCGCTTGATCAAATGAAAAAAAAAACTTTAACACGATTAAAGTTGCAATTTTCTTGAAGGAGCTTAATACACTATATAGTATAATTTCGAAATTTTGTAAATCAATGTATTAATTTATCTGTTTGGTCAGGTGATTAAACATAAGTAGAAATTATTCCGATTCATAATGGTAAAAAAAATAAAGTAGTATATTATATATTCGTTTCACTTATTTCTAATATATAGAAACATATTTGTAAAACTTATATGTAATAGAATATATGCATAGCAATATGATATTATCTAATCAATACGACTTTATAAAAAATAGGAACTAAAGATGCATTAAAAATATTGACTAATATTATACATAAAAATGTTGATAAGAATATTCCAAAAATTGTAGTTATTCTGGATTTGGTTAAAATACTTTTTCTTACATTTGATTTGAATTTGTCTTGAAAATTATGTTTCAATTTTGTTCACTTTATTTCACATAAAAATTCATCATTGTGCTTTGTTGTGAAACATTACAGAAATTCACTTGAAAGAAAATGCACTCGAGTACATCCTCAAGTCTTAGAGAAGCTGCAAAGATTCAGAAATAATAAACCCCCGCAACCTATAAAACGAACTCCGATGGATCTCTGTGTTGGTCGAGCAAAGAATAATATTTTCCTTCTAATTCGTGAAGAATCACAATTGAAAATCGAAAAACGATTGAAGTCTTCGATAAAAAATTATTATAGGTTAATTAGCTTAGCTAAAGCTGTTCATTAAGTTATGCGTGCCTAAATCGAGTAATTAATCTGGTCCGCACATGAATTTTCTCTTTCTCTTGGTCCACAATTTTGAAACCCCTTTTCGCGCTTGAAGGTTCTAATTATCTTGGCCAAGTAGTTCGATCGAGCGTAGCCTGTCGTTATACGTTCACTCTCCCCCCTCCCCCTCTCTCTCTTTCTCTGTCTTGCAAAGTCTTTCTTTTAGGGCTAAACCCCAATTTTATAATATCAGTAAAATCATGATTTCAAATTGGAAATTTGATAATTATGTAGTTTTTTTCCCTTAAAGAAAATTAATTTAGTTACCTTCGTAATTAACCATTCCATCGCCATCCAAGTCTGCTTCCTTGATCATGTCATCCACTTCTTCTTCGGATAACTTTTCGCCAAGATTCGTCATTACGTGTCGCAATTCGACAGACGATATTAAGCCATCGTTGTTTTTATCAAAAACTCTGAAATCACAAATGCGAATAGCTTTTGTTTTAAACAATAGCTGAAAACTGATCGTGAGAAATTTGCTTTATACTAGTTTAAACACGCAAAATGATATTCGAAATGATTAAGGCAAAATAACTTTAATCAACATTGCAAACCTGAAAGCTTCACGCAATTCGTCCTCGCAGTCAGCTCCTTTCATTTTTTTCGACATCATTTGTAGGAACTCGTTGAATTCGATTGTGCCATTACCATCTTGATCTACTTCGTTCACCATATCTCGTAATTCATTCTCTGAAAATGGCACATCGATTAATATTTCCTTATCGCTGGCTTCTATTGAAAGTAATTTTAAAGCTTTTTTCTTTTTCTAAAATTAAATACTACTGTTTCTTTATTCTTTGTCCACAGTCAGAGTAAAATATTTTAGAAGAAAAATTTGTTTAAAATTTGTGCACTTGCTGTTTTACCAATAAACTGAAGTTACAGCATGATTTCGAGAGCAAAATATAGCTGTTCTCCAAGCGAAATGTAAAATGTAATGACAGTATAAGTTCATTGATGTATACGTCATTTCATTTGGTCTTGCATCATAATGTAAATGAGTTTTCTCTATTTGGTGGAACCTAATTTTGATGAAGTCAGAAAATTGTATCGTTAATTAATGTTGATTGTGGGTTCTTCATCATGCTCAAAGACAATAATAATTCTATGATGCAAAGTCATTTTATTCGAAGATTCATATTTGTTGTAGCGAGCTACACTCTTTTATTAGCGTTTGATTCAATTCGTTCAATAAATTAAAGTAAAATGGATCGTTTCGGTAAAAAATGCATTAAAAAATCTCACTATAAGTAGAAATTTTTCTTTCAACACAAAAATCATTTTCAAATTAAATATAGAAGATATATTATGAGTCTTGGATTTTTACCGGCTTACATCAGATTGGCAAAGATGATTTTATTACAAAAAAAGGAAGAATAATTTTAATTTTGCAAATCTTGAACGACGTTCAACTATTTGTACTTACGATATATATATATAATAAATATATTTTTTAAGGGTATAATAGAAATGTATAGGTAAATGATGGATATGAAAATCATTAAGATTAGAACTGTATACAATTTCGACTAAAAAGACACACGCAAAAGTATGCAGGAATTGGCACAAGACGAAGTAAGAGAGAAAAGTCGCGTTTGAAGAAAACCAGAAATGCCACGAGATACTTTATGGACTCTCCCTAGTGCTTTCTTCCTCCTCTCTCTCACAACTTGACGTATATATACCAGTGGTGAGCGAGTGCATGCCATGACCTATCCTACTTTTCCCTGAAGAGAGTTTTATGCTTCAGTGGTCTCCGCGCGCATAGGTATACGAGAAGGAGAAGCGCTAGACAGAATCAACATTTCGGTTAATTAGTGGAGAACTTTCAGGCATTGAAGTATTATTGACCACAATGAGACCATTTCCAACATTCTTTTCGAATTTAGATAGATTTTTAGTAACAATAAGCTTGCGATTTGCAAACTTATTCTTATAACTTTTGAAAGAAAACAAAGAAGTCGACTTGCAATGTAATAACAACTTTTTGAAAAAAATTAAAAACTATTTTCCCGTGGCCAGGTTTTTCACTTACCGGACGGTCTTTGTCCAAGGGAGCGCATGACGACTCCCAATTCGGCCATCGTGATAGTACCATCCTCGTCCTTGTCAAACAGCATAAAAGCCTCTTTGAATTCTGTACAGAAAATATAAAAAGAAGAATAAGTTAAGTAACATTTTTTTATTTATTTACTTATTTTGCAAAATACAATTTTCGACTGAGATAGCAGGCGCTGCGTTTTACAAGGAATATAGTGGTAACTCAAGTTACGACAAGTGACGCAACGCATACACGCGCAAAAGCTCCCTTAATTCCAGAGAATCTCACGGGCAAATCGCCAGACAAGCGAATTCCCGAATGAGCTCTTATAAATTCTGCATTCGGCACTTAAGCCTTTTCTTATAACGGGTTCTACTCATGATTTTGTGAACACACTTTGCTATTTTTCACTGCTCTAGTGAACTAGTAAAATATATTTTTTTATTGTATTATATTATTGAATATGCGAGAAATTTCTTTTTCTTTCTTTTAAAGATAGATACAGTTGATTTATTTTGTAATGACGATTTATTTAAAATTACTAGAGACGTGTCTAATTTAGAGCTTTTAAGAGTTACATGGTTTTTCAAAATTATACGTTTCATTATTTATAGCGTAAATGACAAAGCCTTTCCGAAATGATCATTATTGTAGCTGATCTTCTACGAGTTATAAATCTTTGGTTTTGAAAATAATTAACAGAAAAGTAAATGACTAACTAACTATAAATTTTGTTGAAAAATAAAAGTAGATTTGGCTTGAAGTAATTTATTATAGTCGGCTATATCTAGAAACAATTATGGAATAGCCAACTCTAAATACGATTTAATATAAATAGATAGAACTTCCAACAAATAATAAAATTCCAGAATTAATAAGAAACAGCGGCATATCGTGCTCGCATAATCTTTTTATTTATTCACCTTTTCTCCAAACTTACAAAATTCATCGGCAACGTCTTTAAAGCACCTTATCTGAAGCCCTCGTCGTTACAGGATACTTGAGCAACGGAGCGCAAATTAAATCTCAAGCGCTCTCGGTCTCTCTCTCTCTCTCTCTCTCTCTCTCTTTCTCTTTCAGTACACGCGATCGCTACAGAGGCGCCTAGAGAGAGATTTGATTTCAAAGATGCTTGCAAGGTATGGCTTGAAGTGATTTGAAAGCTTTAGGTCGTCATTATGTACATTATAAATTTTGTGGCATTAATTTCGCCCAATTTAATTTTTAACTTTGTAACTTTGACAAGTATCGTTCATTAACAAATTATAGCTTAATTGTAAAGAGCACGTGTAGACAACTGATCATTCAAGAAAATGCATAGATGAAAGAATCTATTAAGTCAATAGCTCGAGCGTGCCGACAGTTGAGCGCCACAGTAGAAGCCGATCGCCGCTAAAAAAAGACCAAGAGCGTGAGGGAGAGAGCGGAATATCGTTCGCGCCGACACGTTGTGCTACTATATGTATACATTCTACGCTATATATATAAAGAGCATCGTTAAAGCTTTTCATTCAAGAATGTTCGTTGTTTTTGAAAATTTAATAAAATGGCACATATTCAACGAACTCGCACACTCATGAGAGTCAAAAAGTAATTTCATTCTTGATGCATAGCCAAATGTTTCGGCTGCACACAACTTTGAGAAAAGTGCGCGATATCGTTTTTTTCTTCTTTTTTTCGTCTATCGACAACTACAATTGGTTCCAAGGTCTCATTGGAATTGCTTGGAGCGACAATGGCACATACATTTTAAATGTCAATGTTATAGCGATGTTTCATAGAGAGTTGGATGGAGGAAAAAACTCACCCGCAACTTGGTCCTCTGTGAGTCCATATTCCGACTGTAACAGTTAAAGAGAAAATTATGTAAATTAACGTATACGTATATGAAAATATGAACAATTTTATATGACTTTTATTGAAATTGAACTGTCAGCCGATATTTAGTCGCTTATTCGGTATCGATTAGAAATTTATAGATGCAGATTTCAGAGATAAAAAATTGACTGCAATCCGGAAATGGTTCAGCTTTTATGTGATATTTTTGAAAAAAAGTAGATAATTAAACGTAATAACGCATAAATATCTAAGTTACTTTAGATTTTGTTTCGTTAGTTAGAATCGCAATAAAGAAAGGACCGCGCAAAGTTAGAAGAAACCTCTTGAGTCAGTACAAGATATTCCCAAAAAAGCTCGAGCCACTGATTCGCATCAGGCATCGTGCGTCGCCACACAACGTCACTAATAATAAACGCACAATAACAAATAGCGTTCTGAAAGCAGACACACTATACGCTGCGTTAAGAAGGCCCACGTATAAGTCACTACAACAACACTCACGGAGAGCCGGCGAATCTGGCAGTCGATTTCGTTGGTAAGTTTACGGAGCTTCTGATACTCATGCTTGTACCTCTTAGGATCTGCCATGTTGCGTGCTTCTGGCTATACCAGGGTGCGATCAAAGCGTCCCGCTAAGCTTGTGTCCGGCGATTGGCCCTCGAAAGAGTGCGCGTATTAACACATCTGTCGACGGATACTCGTTTTCCCCGAACAAACGCTCTAAGCTACTACCACGTCGGTTTATTAATGAATCTACTGCTAGGCACACTTGTTACTTGTAAGGAACTTTTCAAATTATTATAATAATAAAAGCCAGGACAAACTCATGTCGTACAAAATAAACATTTACCCGAAGTTGTGTATCTGCGCTTGCAAGCTCGTGTTCGCCGAATGTAAGGAATGTAAATCTCTCGGTTCTCGAGTGCGTTTGTGAGAGAGATGCTTTGTATGTCTGTGTAAGTATAAGGAATGAAGTCGAGAGAGGGAAAGAGATAGGTGGTGGGAGGTCACTTCCCGTATTATTAATAATACACCTACCAGAGGCGCTCAGCGGCGCTCAGCTTAATTGGGTCGTTGAACGCAAATGTGCGCTCCCGGATTGACAATAAAAACCGGCCGGTACAAGGTCGAAAGCTGCTTTTTATTCCAGAAAAATATTAAGAACACTTGAAATTAGTTTCCTTCCCTTCTTTTGTTCTTTTCTGCTGTTTTTTTTTCTTATTTATTTTTTAATTTATTTTCAGAATGGACAGTTGAAAAAGAAATTAATGTTTAAATATGATAACAAAAATAGGGCATACAGGCCGCAGTGCTTTTTCAACAATGATATTATTGAAGAAAATATTTATTTAACATGATCGTTGAAATTAAATAAAAGAGAAAAAAAACTGCTAATGAAAGATTAAAAACCCGCATCATCATTGAAAATTTATCATTTTTTCCGAGAATTAGCCTGGTTTATCGTACATTATTTCAGGAGATTATCCGGAGCAAAAAATGTAAATTATCAGTCTCAAGATTCAAAAAGTCGACAACAACTTCTCATTAAGTTTGCAACGTTATCTCGCTTGCAATGAGCACTGGCAGAATATCAAGCAATTCGTCATGAGAATATTCTCTATCTCGCTCTCTTTTGCATCCCGTTAAAACTACGCTAGATTGTTACGGAGAAATTAGAGAGCTACTCGGCTGTATATATACGTATCTTTCTCTTATAGTATATTATATTGAGTTTGGTTGGAAATTTCTGCTTGGTGGCATTATGAAATTATTCAGCGCAATGCTGCATATTGTATTTATTGTGTCAGAGAAAGAGAAAGAGAGAGAGAGAGTGAGAATATAACTAGAGACAGGAGCTGGTATTCGTTCTTACTATTCCAATCATGAGAAAGAAAACACAAGAAGTTAATATTTTGAATACTGAATGCATAATATATTATTTTGAACAAAAAAAATAGTGTACAATTGATGTTTTTCAGAAATTAAAGGGTAAATAATTTATTTGAAAGCCTATTATATACATTGAAATCATGTCTGACTAGCTTTACTTGTTTATACTAGTTGAAATTACTATTTTTCTCATCGATACTGTCTTAATAATGTACGTAATACACTACAGATTCATACGATGTATTGAAATTTTATTCTATTTTATGTAATTGAAATAAATTTAGAGATTGGAAATAATAATACTTCGTTATTCACCTCACTTTACAAAATATCGTAACGTAAGCGAAAAAAAAACAACCACCTTGGCTCAATAGTGCTATCGAGAATTAAAAGGTTATTTATACAATGTCAACGATGCATGTATAGTAAGTTTAAAAATATTCAAAAGGCAGTAGGTGCCAAGTGACGAACAAAGCCTGTAGCATCGAAACGTTTACTCGAACTTGCAGCCAGATGAATTTGGGCGACTTTTCTCGATCGTTTAATAATTGTTATAATGATCATATGAGAAACATTTTTTCATTCGCGAATTCGATAATTAATTATCACAGCCGCAGACTAAAGCACTGTTGGCATGACAATATTCAGACCAATTGAGCTCACAGATACGTCGTTGTCTTCTAGTCTAAACAAATAATTATTCGTTTCTATTCTTGCTTGACTTTTACGTAGTCGTAATGCTACGACAGTTTTCTGTATTTGCAGAAGAGTTATTTACTTTTGAAGTTTTTTCTTCTAGCAAGAACTTTAGAAAGCCCATCTATCTTTTCCGGAACTCTGTTTAGTACTCTAATTTTTGTTGTAAATATACATATAGCGTATATAAGGATATTGTATTGAACCCATCATAAATCCATTGAAAAAGAGAGTAACGATATTGAAATAGGTATATAAAACTTTACTGAAAGCTTGAGGAATAAACTTTTATGCATAACGATACTTTTTGTATAACTTTCCCGTACACTTCGTCTTCATTTTGCATTATCCGCAATAAGATTGATAACAAACTTCAATATCACCCCTTTTAATGTTTTTTTTCTCAAACTTTATCCTACTTCAAAATTTATCCCTTCAATTACGCATTCTGGTAAAAACTTTATGATCAAAGGACATAGGAACACCATTTCCACGCGCCCGCGAGTGATTATCTATCTCATTTACGTTCACATTATAATTACATGCTCAACCAATTAAGAGCTGAAGTGTATGCATCTCATATGCACAACTCACTCACTAGTCATTAAAGTAGAGCCGTATAAATATTCCCGGCATCCATCTTCTGCCTCTAAATTTCGAAGCGTCGCAGCACCGTCGAAGAGACAAAGTTGTTAAACTAGGTCACGTACTATTTTTCTTTATTTTTTTTTTCTTTACTTTTACTACTAAATTTTCATTATACGGGAAGGGCTATGACGGTAAATACTCGCTTGAATTGTTAGAAAGTCCGAAACTCTAAATATTGTCATGATAGTTTTGCCTTTAAAATTGCCTATATATTATTTGTATTTATAAAAATATAATTTAAAAGTAACTGATAATAGAATGGATAACGGTACAAAAAAAGGTATGAATATCTTGAAAATAGAAATATTTTCTGCTGAATAACACTTGTTTTCTCGCGGATGAATGACGCGCTCATTATTAATAACGTCCATTTGCATTTAAAGCTATTCTTACTCTCAACGAAAAATATGATTAGTAGCCTTTATTTTTAGAAAGACTGAATTATTAATAATAATGGGTCTTCGACCTTTTATACATGAAAAACTACTCATTTTACTATTTGAAAATGACTAGGACCTCTTTTTAAATATGGCCACTTATTTAACAGGGCTTTATTAAATTCATAAGTGTCTCAGATGTACATGCCAACTAAATTAAACTTACACTAATTTTTCGGATGTGCCCATCGATTTTACTCGTAAGACGTCGCAGCCGTCCATATTCATTTGAGTACTTTTTCTCGACGTCCGTCATATTTTAGTTACAACTTCTAGTGAATTATTCGAAAGCAGTTGCTGTTATTTTATTAATAACATCGTATCTTTATTAATAAAGTTTCTCTGTGCTCGAATAGCTACATTTGTAAACAAAAATCTGTTGACTTTTCGAGTGATTAATTGCTGGAAATTTCCTCGTTCAATAAATAAACCGTCAGATATGAAATCGGAATTTTCACTTATTAAATCAAATACGAACGGTTAAAGTTAAAACTCATGGTATTTCAGCACAACTTAACACAGTATACACCGGTACACTTAAAACATCGTTTTGAGTCTATTATGACTTCATTTCACAGATTGCGGAAGCACTATTAACATTCATCAGTCTGTCAACGCCGTAAAAACAAAGACAAGCTCACCGAAAAACCAATGAACCCGTCACCTATGAACTCGTACTTTTTATCGCGCACGCACAGAACGCGATCAGCTTTGGTATTAGCTCATCTGTCAATCGCGTCTTCTCGCGCGACACTGCCACGGGCATATAACGTCATATCTGCGCACACGCGGGGAATAAGGAAGAGATGGAGATCACTCACTTTATATTTAGATCGAACATTCGCGAGACGCTCGACAATGTCGCGCGATTGGTCAATTTTACACGCTGAGCCCTTTTGTCTTGGCCTCACGCAACGCGCATTCACTCTCTGCAAGAGAGCCAAGTGTAGTTGATTGCGCGCGTTTTGTCTCTGCCAAAGACGCGCCTTGCACGCTAGATTTGTGCGTTTTCGCGCGCATCATGCGTGACACGCTGAAAACGTATGTATACACGACTGTGCCGAGAGAGTGAGAACGTTCCGCGCGCCGGACAAGTTTGTACTTTATTGCGCACGCTCGAGTGATTTTAGAAACTCTCGTTAATTTCGTAACTGGCAATTGTGATAGTTCTATTCTTTGAAATAGGAATGCTTGGGCTCTCTCTGGGAGATGCCAGACTAATGCGCGGGCTGAGATTGGTTTTTTCAGTACGATATTGTTGTTGTTCTTCAACGTAAGATTTATGCACGTGGACTGAACGATATAAAAACTTTGAAATCGTTCATTTCAAATAATCCACTGGCACTTTTTTAATAGTTAATTGCTTCGTTGTTTCTTATAAAGTAAAGCTAATGACCCAATCTAACAAGATCGTGAAAATCGTTTTTAATCGCCATAAAATTTAATTTTTATTTCATCCATGGTTATGACTTTAGTTTCATTTATTTAGACTTTTGTTCATTTGATCTTACAGAACAATACCTTTTTTTCTGTTTTCACACAATTCAAATGTTCATTTCAATGTAATCAGCCAGTTGATTGAAAAGGCAATAAGAACAAATTCTGTTTCAAGTAGATACGAACTAAGTTTAGTCAGACTACGTACATATGACATCAGTTTTGTACTTAAGAAAGTAAAAATACCTGCGCACAAACCCACAGTTTCATCCCTCCGGCTCTATTAAAGTTACTGAGAAAGCACTATCTGACGAAAAAAGACGAAAGCTTCGCGGAGAAATCGCTCGGGGATATCGCCGCTGCATTGCCACGGGGAGCTGTCCACGTGTGTGCAAGTCGCGCTCTTTTTTCTCTTCCCTCCTCCTTGCGTTCAGCAGCAGCGTACCTTGGAAGCCAGCTGAGTGTTAAGGACCTATCGATTGATTATATTGCCGCAGTACCCAACTGGGTCAGATTAAAGAACTAGAAAACAAGTTTTAAGTCGGCCCTCGCCAGAAGCGGTCGCTTCTCGAAGTGTACACGTACACCGTCGACTTTGATTTTACCCCGGATACTAAAATTCTTGGCTATTGCGTATTATATGCGTATTATCTACAAGGAAACTGTAGACGGTACATAATAGTAGATTTTATACTTTTTGCAAGAAAGTGGTAAACATCGTTTCTTCTGCTAACGATTTCAAAATTTGTGTATCAAGTTGTCAATCTACGTTTTAAAATATTTCAATCCTCAGTGCTATCTTAAATTTCAATTTAAAAAATAATCAAACCTAACTTGTATAACAACGAAAGCATGTTTCTTGTACCAGAATAGTAGAGACGGCGATATTCTCATCGAGCTTGATTAACTCACGACTGTAGTGAAATTTGTGTTTCTGTTTAATTAATTGGCTGTCCGGATTGTGGCGATTATATCTTAGGCGGTACCTAGAGCCCAGCATGGATTTCCAGGCTCGCAGGATGATGAGATTACTTTGAGACTCGATCCTCTTAAACGTAACGAGACTGTAGATGGCCCATGAAGGTAAATTTAGCTGTCTCAGTTTTCGTTATTTGAGATTTACGACTACTCAACTATAACCGCCGACCTCCAAATCATTATTTTTTCATATCTCATTGTAACATTGTTGTATGCATGCATAATATATTTTTTTAACTACCGAATAAAATTGATAAATGAATTTAAAAACCAAAAGTTTATCTAGCATCGAATTTTTCAGAAATATCACATAAAAATAAAACAGCGTAAATTAGTATTGTTCATATTTCATCAAAACAAACAAATGCAATAAAATCTAGTTAACCAAATAGTTGTTTTTATCTATGGTCAAAGGTATATATCTGCTCTGAATAAAATCTCGTTAAAAAGAGTCAAAACGTTACAACTGAGACTGTTTTGCTTTATCAATTTTTGTTTTAACATGGCGCAACTAATTAACCACGAACTTTTCATAAGACCCGCCACACACATCAAAGCTTTTATATGTTACAAGAGTCATTGTTCGTTACGTAATCGATTTTCACGCTAAAATTAGAAAAAAAGCATGCTCACCAGATTTATAGTAACGATAAGATCATATTGCTGTCTTTGTCCTTTCTTTTTGTTTTTGCCGGTCTTGACACAAGCAGCCTTCGGTGTAACCTTGACCTGACCCTTTTGTGCACTTGGTTTGGTTGCAGGTTTGGTTGTTGACTTGGCACCTGGTGCCACCTTTTGACCAGCAGTTGCTGGTCCTTTCTGACCGGTAGTCCCTTTTTGATTGACATGCCCAACTCCATCTGCCGGTTTGTTCCGGGCCTGTAAAAAATCCACGATTTCCTTTTTAGTGTATCGTTTGCTGTTGACGAGGAACTTTCTTCAAAAAAATGTCATTGCGCAGTGCAAGTCCTATGAACTAGAAGCGCAAAAATTTTCAACTGTAAAAAATGAAAAAGATTATACTGTGCCTTTGCCGAATAGTCCACGATGAGATATTGTGCTCAGAATTGAAATATGGGAAGTAATATTTGGCAAAAAAATGTTTCCTATTTGAAAAAAATATAATCTATATTCGTGATGGGTCTTATGTACAGTTAAATATCTTTTAACCAAAAAAAATTGTTTATTTCATAGCAAAGAGATAACGGTAAAAAGCGTACTATTCTTTTCAAACTAATAAATTAAGACACCTGCCAAATATATTCATTTACTGCCATCTATATAACTCGATGTAATCAAATAAGGTAATTATCGTTACAAAATTTTTCGTTCATCCTTTCTAAAAACTAAATGAATGTTCGCGAAAATAATAATTATACAGCCAGAAATAAACTGGAAGAAACAAAAAGCCGAAATTCGATCCAAAAAGGCACGGTTCATACTGTCAAAAGTTATTTATCCGGTTGATGGTAGACTTTTCCAGCAGAGTCTCGTTGTCGTCCTCCTCCTGGCGTTGTGATATATCTCTATCTTGCAAGTATTTTCGTGACTACTACTATTCTGTGTGACTATTTCGTTTCCTCCATTCCAGGCTTTCTCTATCTCTCTCGCGCGCATGACGAAACTCGGCCAAAGGCTTCAGAGCAAGCAAAGTCCATTCGGGACTTTAATCTGGAAATGGGCGGAGCTCCCCGGAATTTTCGAGAGAGAAAGAGAGAGAGAAAGATAGATAGAGGGAGAGAGAGAGAGGGAGAGAAAAAAGCTGATTTTTTCTCTCGCACATAGCCTAAACGAGAGTTGCAAGATAAAAAAATGCGTAAGTATGTATGTGTGAGTGTATATGAATGAATGTATATGCGCAAGCTCTCGAGGCTGCTCTACACTATAGAATAGAAGAAGATAATGCGTTTTGTTCGCTTGGATTTCAAGTTGCGGCGGCTCGCTTGGCTTAACTACGAGAAACTATGTGGATATATTGTTGAGCGCTTCTATTGTTGTTTTGCGGTTTTCAAAGGAGGGGGAAGTCTACGCTTTTGTTTCTTCTTTTCATTTTTTTGTCGCTCAACCTAACGAAGCTGCTTCATTAGCTTTCATTGCTATATTTTATCATTTTTTATGTATCTTGATGTCTTTCTCTGAACTAACTAGGTTTTGTTCAATTTTTAACTATGAATATAGCAGTTAAAGTACCTTCTGTCGACTAAGAAATTGTATACCAGCTCTAAGTAGGCAAACTCTAAGAAGCATTTTTTTACAGTACCTTTTGTGGACCACTTGCTAAATATATATTTACTGCTTCATATTTGGAACAAAAAAAAATATTTTATCCTCAAACTTGAAAATTAAACAAAATTATAAGAATAGTTTAATGCTGCTAGTCTTACTGCGTGTAATTAATTTTCACTAATTAAACAATCAAATGGTAAAGCAAGAAATAAGTATACTACGATGGCTGAGCGGGGTAATCATATTTTATTAATTTGTTATATTTATACAATATCGGTTTCGATTAATTAATTATTTCAAAGACTCAATTGAAATGAATTTTTAAGTATCTTTTTCATGCAATTCATCGAATAGCTTACGGAATCGAATTTAAAATATAAAATTTTACTATTCGTCGATGATTCAATTTGAACTTTTAATTGGATGAATATCAATTAATGAATAATTGGAATATTGTGATTAATCAAATCTTTGAATCGCAAACACTTATGAACAGAAACAACAGAAGAGGGCTGTTCTAACGGAACTCGTTGACGGGAGCCTCGCTCACACGTCGACGGAAGTAAGAGGGAGTGTGAAAGAGAGAGGGAGAGAGAGAAAGGGTTTTTTTGCCTACTTCTTTCACATAGCAATGATGAGGCTGCTCCCTCTTTGTAATTTTTTGCTTGAAGAAGAGGGAGAGAGAAAGAGAGAGCAACTTTAAATCTTTTTATTCGGCGGTGTTCTATGCTGGATTTTATGCTTTCGTTTGGCACACGTTGACTCTCGAAATTGCATTAAAAAAATATGGGACGTTTGTTATAAAAAGCTTTCATTAGCAACTCTTAAATTTTAATTGATACTGACCTCTCTTTCTTTCTCGTTTGCGCTCGATTCAAAGAGAAGAAAGTATGTCACGTATCTCATATTTCTTTCACTGCGTCTCAGTTTTTATACTCTGCATAGTTGAAGCGCTAGACTTCATCATTTTTTATGAACTAGGCACATAAACATCAATTAAAATCTTCATTGCTGAAAGCTAGCTTTTTATATCTAAATTCGATTCTGTCAATGAATTTCATAAGTTCTTCTAATAAATATTAAATTAATACAAAAAGTCTCATAAGAGTGCATGAAAAATAGCTATTCATATATACACACGCTCACACATGCAGGTGAATACGTGAATATACGTGAAAACCAGTTTTCACGATAAAATGTAGATAGAGCATTTTTGCAATTGTGTAGCTACCTGAATAGACTGATAACGCATGATATGTGGATCACAGAATTTCGAGAAAATTGTGCACGGGCACGTATTGTACCTAAAAGTTCTTTTAACGTAAGTATAGTTCAGGCAATTTCAACTTCTAGTACATAAAAGACATTGGAAAAAGTCTTTTCTTACCATCTACCTTTAAAAAGTATCCAACCAATAACTAAAGAAGATGTACTGTTCGCACATCTATCTGTGTTAGAGGATTTTATTAGTTTCACATTAGATCACAAATCCATCAGTATAGAATACTTAATAAATAATATCAATTCCTCGCAAATCTTCTTTTACATAAAATAGATACTATCTTTTTTATATCGTAAAATAAGACGAAATCTTACTTGACAAATCGGCGGAGGCTGTACCTGAACGAAAAGACATTTATTCTCGCACTTACGTATCCTCGCGCGAGGCAAATAATGGTAAAACTAAGGTTGTTTACCAAGGAAGGCTTTGCCAAGCTCAAAACTAGGCCAACTTAACTTTCGTTGTCGATTCTCTCTCTCTCTCTCTCTCTCTCTCTCTCTCTCTCTCTCTCTCTCTCTCTCTCTCGTCCACACATATACGCGCGCGCTCACGCATGCAAAGAAAAACTTTCTCTCCACGAACAAGAAGATTTAAGAAACATTTTCGATGCGCTCTTCGATGTATAGAAAAATTCAAGGAGTTATATCTTCGAATGCATATGAAATTAGGCACACTACATCTATATTTTTACGGGAAAGATGCCGCGTGTAGTAGAATCGATGATAAGAGCTGATACAAAACAAATTTAGGTATTACAATTTTAAAAGGGAGCTTGCGGACGATAGATTCATGCAAGCGCGCGAACACGTGTAAAAATTGAAAGAGGGGTGAGCTCTTTTTTCTACAAGTACACAGTAAATCAATCTTTAGACGAACGATGGAAAAGAATAAATACGTATATATGAAATAGGATGTGGGAGATATATATTAGAAATTTTTTTATCATCAAAATCAGTATATTGCTTCTACGTTAGCTATTTTACTTTAGTGATATTTCAGTCAGCTGCCATTAAAAAATAATCAATAATGTGGAAGCGAAATAATTTTCATTCTTACTAACAATGCATTATTGAAATAGTCGATCTAACTTGAAAGCCAATTTTCATCGAGCTTCGCTGAGAAAACTCTTGTTCCCTGAGTGGAAGAGCAATCAAACGCACAGTCGATTCAAAAAAATAATGCACCTCCACCAACTGTAAGAAAAAATACATTGATCTGTAAAGGGAAATAATATAGGTCAAACGTTAACGAACTAATCCAGTCCATTATAACACAGCAATGAAACCAAGGCTGCCGGAACTGACGATTTATGCGCGGCACTAACATTCTGATTCGGCTCGTATAACGCATCGTGAAAAAAAAAAAAAGAATCTCGCTGGACTGCACATAAAATCGATTTCTTTTTTTCGGATTTTGCGCTACAGAGAAGCTCGTGTATTTTCCAGTGTGTTTATTTTACCGACCTTGCTTGCCACAAGTAATTCGCGATGTATATACATGTGTGTATGCGAGTGGGACCGAAGGTTAATTTGTTTTTTAGAATGTGCTCGTATTTATGCATCGGGATTTATGCCCGCAGTTCGGGCAATCAAAAATTCATTCCCTTGGTACAGATGAATTTGCATCTGGACAACAATAGAGAGATTATAAAAAAGAAAAATGACAGCCGAATCACTGGCTGTGCGAAAAAAACTATCCGGTCCATCACCGAAACATTGAATAAGTGTTGGAAGTACGAGTATAGTCTGAAGCTTTTTCAATTTTGAAACTTTGGTTGTATATAACGAGGACGCACGCTTTATAAATCGAATGTCACAGCACTATCCGGAAAAGGTCTTGCCCAAGTAATCTCACAGTTTGTCATCCGTTACATAATAAATCAAACCCGTGTATACTGTAATAATAAACGAGCATCTTGGAACGAACAAATTCGATAAAACTCCAAAAAATCCTTTATTTTTTCGTTTCTCGTTTTCCAACAAGCGAAAAAGTGCTTATACTTTACAATTGTGCATGAGATTGAATGTATGCTATAGCAATTGAATCAATCAACCTGTACACAGTTTAGCACATCAGGTGTAAGTCGTCGAAATATGAGATTTTCTATTGGAGAAATTCCAGAAATTCATAGCACCCTTCAACGCCGTAATTCGTTCTGCTCTAAATTATGAGAGTAAAGTATGTTGTATATACGTGGGGATGTAATTTGGCGCTTGGGAAAATTTAAATTGAAACGTCTGACGCTCGGTCTAATGCAGTAATTAGTAACATGCTGAAACAGATTAGTTCTACGTTAGTGTATATATACGGGTACGTGTTTCGCGGAGTTTATTACTGCATATCATTTCAAAAATGATAAATAGAAATCGCACGTTCAAAAATTATTTCGCTACATATAGTCTTAGAAATTCTGACATTTTTGACGATGACACAAGCAGCAAGAAAAGAGAAAGAGAGAGAGAGAGAGAGAGAGAGAGAGAGAGAGAGAGAGAGAGAGAGAGAGAGATGACACTGTAAAAAACACATAATCTATTTATAATCTCTGTCAATGTCGTATGATATATATCTTGGAAACGTACTATATACTAAACGAAGTTGTTCTTCCCCTCCCAACAACTATACATATATATAAATAAACCTTACGTACGATTTCTTTTAAGGTAGAAGTTGGAGAAAAAAATTCAGAACTACATTATGATTCATCATTAACCTTCATCTGATTTATGATTTCCATAAATTAAAAAGAAGCCAAGTAAATAAAATCTGAAATGGCTTTTAGAAATTAAAATTAGAATCCGACTGACGATGCGCGATCGTTGCAAGCACTCTCACACATCTGTTTCCGGGATGACAGATTATTGCGAGCACAGCACACATACGCACGCAAAAGAGAGACAGTACGAGCGACGAGACGGATGAACGGATAGAGAAAGAGAGAGAAACGGAGAAAGCTCTGACTGACCCGAAAATAGCGATGGGTTTATTGGAATAATAACTCAGATGAATAGACGGCTAACGCTAAGCGTGGGCGACACACTGTCGGCATAATTACAGCAAATTTTCTTTCGGATGAAGAAAGATTTATATTCAATCAATCGAAAAAGAAAGAAGAAGAAATTGTAGTATCACGAGCTTACGTAAGCGCGAAATAATCGTCAAGAGAATGAAATTTCACAACGCACTAAGAGAGAAAGTTTACAATTTCATACATGATAATTTATCTGCTATCAAAGAGAAAGAACATTGTCGAAGAAGCTTGACACAGTTCTCTTGTGGAATCCCCAAAGAAATAGAACATTGCCGATATTTGTTTAGACGAACTTCGTCGTTGTTATCGAGTGTTTTTGAAGAGCAGGCTTAATTAGTATGTTACAGTAGCTAATTTTTGCTGTCTTGCTTTCTCTGTTTTTCCAAGCAGGATATTGTCAATGTTACGTGCATAGAAGAGAGTAGGACATAGAGAAAACATAGTAGGGCACAAGCTGAAATGTTGGCTGCTCTCTAGTCGTTTTGTTTCGACGACCGGTGAGTTATTTTAACTGCACGAGCGTATTCGCTTTGTTTGTTTTCGAAGTTATATCGAAACTCGAGATACTTACAAATTTTTTGCGACGCTTATAGTTCATAATCAAGAAATAATTAAAACTCGAAATCTGATATTAAAGACGAAGTCTAATATGAATGAAAATAATTACCTTCCCGAACAAGATGTTAGACAGTTAATAGGTAATAATTATAACTATTATAATTATTCAAATTACGAATTCATAAATACTATCTCGCTATGATATCGATAGGGAAACTCTGGGGCAATTGGAATCCTTGTCTATATGCTAAATATACATTTGGAGGCGAGAGGAGTACAGACGTCGATATACACGAAACTATGATAGCCGTGAAATTCGTAATTATCAATTTAGTTTAGGTTGATTAAGATATCTACGTTTAATTAACTGGTCAAAAATCATTGACGCTACGCAAACGTTTCCGATTCTCTTTGCTCCAAATGCAGTGTATAGTTGATTCTCTACCCCACAAATTATTTCGCTTCATTTATTTTGTTATAATCTACTCAGTTATCAATTTATCCTTAATGTTGGATTAAATCTTGAGTACATTCTACTTTACGCAACTTAAAATTTTCTATTGACCTACAGTTGAATAAAGCCGGAGAAGAATTGGTTATGATAGAATGGAAGCCAACTGAAGTGAAATCAATAGGAAACCGTTTTGTAAGATGTGCTTTCACGCGCAAAAACGAAATAAATATACCGCACTGTTGAATTCGGTTATTGCTCTCCTGTAGAGAACCCAAATTCTCAGTGAAGGGACAAAGTGATATCCATCAATGGCACGTTTAATTGCAAAGCTTGGCAGGAATGCTAATGGTTGTGGCCAAAGTGTAAACGCCGTTAATTAGTAAAGTTTTCGGTGCTAGAGAGAGAAAGAGAGTGAGTGAGAGAGAGAGAGAGAGTACAATGTACGTAATTTCCGAGTTCTCAGAGCTGCATGTACCTAGATTTGTAATGCGACTCAATTAGGATTGCAGCAGCCGCGACTCTATATACCATTGCAATTCTATACAGCGAGAGAATTGAAAACGTCATTGGTCTCTCGCTTGCTTGAGCCCAGAGAAGTTTCAGCTTACCAAGTTATTGTTTCAGCTATGCTGCCCTTTCAACTGATTGCAAAATCTTATTCGTGTAATTTGAGTTCTTTTGTCGACGAATTTTGTTGCGGTCATACGCAGTGTTCTGCAAAGTCGATTGTACTTTTAATGGGAATATGCATGATTTTTTAAGTAATTTTTTGAAAATAGTTAATGGTTATTACTATATTCCAAAGTTCTTTTTTGTAACTCTTTAGTGGTGATTCAATGAGTATCGCCACTCCAAATTTAATGTATACAAGACCTAAGACCCTTCCAATAATACCATTATATCATTGCCGTTGTGGGGTTACATTGAATGACTCCTCGATCACGTATGTGCATGTACATATACTTATTTGGCGCGTTCATCACATTATGCATTTTACACGTTCGCGGCTGCATCTTTATTGTGTACATCATCTTATCATCGAAGTCACAAACCGATGATTAACCGTGATACATTCGTTCACATTAAACTCGACATTTTGTTTTCCTCTTCAATTTTTTCGCTCCAAAAATGTCGTGCATTATTGAATTTCCACGCGGAGATGCGCCAACGACGGTCAGCTAAGCTATATGATGTTTATGCTGCTTGACAGAAATATAACTGATGTAGTAGATTTCGAGCGTTTCTGCTTTACGCTTGATTGGGTAAGGGAATTGTAAAATTAGCTTGTTTTATCATTCGTTTCAACACGTTAGGTAATCCTTGAAAATATTATTCAGGTTTTCATGTTTCGAGGTTGAATGTAGCATCGATATTTCGGTCGCGAGATCTTCCAAAATAGTCAATAGTTAATTTACGTTTACGTATTTATACATACATTAATTAAGATCGATGAAAAAGATTGTTTGGGCACAAAAAAACATTTATTGAAAATAATCTCAGTGTCAATTTTCGTCAAATATAGCAGTTTAAACTTTATTTATTTCGAATAGAAACCGTTTACTATCTTCATCAAGTCATATAATTAGAACTCACAGTAAATTCTTTATGGACTACTAACGATTAGTCATTCCTAAAATTCAATATCTCACGAAGCCCATCACAACAAATTAGCGTATTATGACGTTTGGAGCTTGCTGGAAATCAAACATATCATCCTTAAAAAAATAGAAGAAAGCGTGCAAATCAATTACTCGTCGAGGACAAACCGAAATGAATATTAAACAGAAAAGCATAAAAAATGAAACTTCTCTGATCGACGTGTACGCGAAGATTTGGAAGCTCTGCTTAGTCATTTAATTTGCATCTGGCGCACGCATACATGCTTTTTTGACTTTGGTCACGGGTCCTCGCGCTCACGCATTATAGACGGCGCTTGCGGCGAAAGAGCTTTTTGATTTTGACGAAAAATGCGGCCCGCATAGTAAAGAACAGTATCGCAGTCTGTGGAAAACCACTTGAAAATAGCTCCCTTTTCGTTCAACCGTGAAAAGATTTCACATTGCACGACATTGTGTTTTACGTAATTCATGGAAAGGCCAAAAGATGAATGGTTTCCGAATTTCTAAAGAAATTTAAAAAAAGTTTTAGATACAATTCACAAGGGAAATTTTATAATGTGATATTTATATGTAGCGCTAAATGACTAAATTACTAATGCAGGACATACGTCTTTACTCAAAGTCACGTTTAGAGATCGCTATTTTTGCATAAAATTACTTTTTGTACTGAATTGTAATTGAATTTATTCTGGTATGCCCGTCATACTCAAATAAAGCTTAATCAAATCTCAATTGAATTCTAAGAATTGGAGTTGGCAATCGACAGGTCTTGTCGAAATTAACCGATGTGATTTTAATAGTCCGTAATGTGAGTAACGAGGATATAATCGGTCATGTAATCATTCTATGCAGTATTTCAGCAAGTTTGTGCATCGGCCATTCAAAAATTATCAAAAGTATAGCAAGTTTCACATTTTCAAAATATCTCTTGGGCGTGTAACATCGTTATTCTAAAAATGCACGCTGCTATGCTGAAGAAGTTCCCTGCGAAAATTTTCAATGTAGATTCGTGTTTTTTTTTCAAGCACTCGAAACCGAAAATCCAGTGAACGTTGTAATATTTCATAAAAAGTGACAAGAGATATCGATGAGTCGCGCGAGCTTGAAAGAGAGAGGACGACAGCATTATAGTCGAGTTCAAGAAAGAAGAAGTGTATGGTGGAAGGGGAATTCACGCGGCCGCGAAAAGATTCTGCCGCTGGAGGTTATAAAAGTTATCTTCGTCAACGTGCTGCGCGTTAGTGCTGAGGTAAAGCAACTCTGGGTCGGAAACCAATTTTAAAAACCAAAAAATAATCATGGTTAGTGTTGATGTGTTTACGTATTAACGATATATACAACAGTGGCTTTGGTATTACATCCTAAGCAATTCAGCACGTTATTGTGATTCGTTTTAAAGTTCTTGGATTATTAGAAAAGTTTCCGACAGCTTTTTTCATTGCGCTAACGTTGAAGTTTGAAGTATCGCATGTAAAAACGTCTTATCATATTTTTCTACTTTTTTCTTCTTGAAAGTAGTGTTATCTAGTAACTTCGGAATGAAATTATTTAAGAATATTAATCAATCATAATTTATTAAACAGGATTGTAGAAATTACAACTTACATAATTAAAGATAATAATTAAGATTTTTTTTTATTATATATTTTTTAAATTGAAATGAAATAAATATAAACAATGTGCATACGGAATAATTTTATAACATACTAAATTTTTATAAATATTTTTCAGGATGACGAATCAGTTCAAAGTAAGTAATAGTTAATAAGAAAGGCATTTTATATTTATTTCATAGTATTACGTTTGAAAAAAATAAATCGTGTTTATTCTATTTTTACACATTTAAATAAATTTTTAAATGTACCGCAACTGATTTTTAAATCTTCTAAAGTTCAATCATTGTTTTTTGTGGCTTAGTGCTCAGGCGAGCTTTTTCGATGTTCGACTCGACCAAGTCGGGCAAGATCGAAAAGGAAAAGGTTCGCACAATCCTGAACACACTCGGTCACACTTTCGACGATCACGAGCTCGACATAATGCTGAAAGCCGAAGACGTCGACGGTAAGTTCCATTAAGCGTTAATTACATAATACATTTTTTCTTTTCCTGCTGCTCTTTCGTTCGTTGTACGCGTTCAAATTCCACCGAAAAAAAGGGGATATTTGTTCTTATTCCGAGACAAGAGGCCACTCGGAGAGCTTTAAAGGAATTTCACGCGAAAGAATTTTCACGACAATGCTCCTGCGCGGAATATTTATCCTGAGCCCGGAGGCTCCGGTGGAAAAGAACCCCTTCTCTTTTCCAAAGAACAAAGACTCGCGAGCACATGCTAAGCTGATGTATCCTTTTGATGATTCTTGTTTCGATGAGTGCTCGAATATCAGAAATTGGGTCATAGAGCTGTACGGATTTTTTTCAATTTCAAATATCCTTTGTTTCATTTTCAACGCACAAGTTGACCAACCATGTTTTCAGTAAGTTTACCAGATAATATCTGCATAATTAGCGTGTGAATGGAAATTGGAATAATAGAACCAGATTACAGGCATGCTTTAATTGAGTATTCTCCGCATGTTTTTCGAGTAACAGCAGAGAATGAATTTAAAAAATTGACGTTTTTGCGTTTTCATCGGTATGCATTAATCGGAAAAAATATCGAGTAGAAAGGACACGAATCATTGATTAATGAAGGTTAGATATGTTAGGTTAATAAATCTCTAGTAAAAATGTAAGTACTATTATTGAGAGATTAATAGGATATTTGATAATCCACGGGTTCACAATTATTTTTATTATTTTTTTATCACTTTCATATTCTAGCTTCATTACTGTAAATACTATAATGTCAACTATAATTATGATTCGATTTTGACATAAACACAAAAACATAGTAGTTTTTCTGTCTCTTCATGAGTCTCCACCTTCACATTGAAAAGAAAATTTCAATTTTGCTGATCCTTTGAAAAGATGAAAAGATCTTTAAGGTGGAAAGCAAAAATGGAAAAGCGACTCAAGTAGAAGCTCAAAACAATGGCGAGCAAGCTTAGAAAGTCAAACTATCGTAAACGTAAAAGCGGCATAGTAGGTCGTGAGTAGCACGAGGAGAAAAAGGGTCAATATTGCCGTGTAAGCCGTACATGGTAGCGAGGCTAAATGACGTTGGGAAATGACTCGCGCGTAATCCGCAGAGACTTTTCTCAATGCTTGTTGACAATTGTGTAAACAACTCGTTGTGTCCTTGCACGCAGCAAGAATTTTCGCGAGCACTGTAAATAAATATGAGCAATCGGCTCAAATTTCACGCTTCATTTCATCCCTCTCTCGCTTGGGATACATGCATGTGTGCTAAGCATCTAGGTTTGCCTACAAGGTTTTTGTCGAACGTAGACACTGAATTCCGAGCAAATTGCTACTCTACATGTTTTAATAAATATCAGAAAAATCACGTCCCATTGGTTTATCGATTATCACTACAAATGGTCATGTAAAATAAGAAGAAAATGGCATCTGAATATACTTTTTTTCAATTTTCCAGTAAAACGTATTCATGTTTATGAGAAATGTCGAGACAAAACAGACACTTTTAATGATTGACTCGTACAAATTTCATTATACCGTTGTGATGTTTTTGGCACAATGTGAGAGAGTAAGAGAGATTCCGATGTTCGATCTTTTGTCTTAATAAACCTCCCTCGTAGAGCCGTGTTATACGACATTGTCATCAATATATTCATCAATAGATGTCCCTGTATTATTATCAGTTCATGTATGTCCCTGGAGTTGAAGTAATGTGGCATATCTATTTTAATTTTCGTCGACGGTTTTTCAAATCGACGTCGACTTTATTTTTAAGATATTTCATTCGAGCGCATTTTTAATCGATAAATATAAGCCAACCAATATACACATTTATTGATACGTGCTAGCATGTTGAAGTAAGGAGCTTGTACCTAAATATCCTTATTTCGAGAAAAAAATTGAGAGTATTTATAGATATGTTTGTCTATTTTTAATCTATTGTTACAGACAGATTCATGATTATAAAATAGAATTCAGAATCGTTGATAGTACAAGCTATTCGGAAACTGACGATAGCTTTAAATAAAGTTGATTTAAATTGAGTTAAAGAATGCCATCAAGCTCTAGTTTATTCGGAAACTAATAGTACGGAATATTCAATAATGATTACTTTTCAACTTGACAGGCAGCGGAGTATTAGACTTTGAATCATTCTTCCGAGTGGCATGCCATTTCCAAGAGGAAGATGACGAAGCTCTGCAGAAAGAACTTAAGGAAGCTTTCCGTTTGTACGACAAAGATGAAAAGGGCTACATTCCGACAAGTTCGCTTCGTGAAATCCTTCACGCTCTTGATGATGGAATCACACCCGACCAGATGGACGGCATGATTGCTGAGATTGACACGGACGGTTCCGGTACTGTTGACTTTGATGGTAATCAACTTTTTATATGAGAGAAATTTCGGCTTACAACATTTTTTTTTTAAATATTACAAACCGTTATGGTCTGTTAGTAATCCCATTAACTAAAAATCAAAGAATGCGTTTAAAAAATGAAACAAACCCAACCCCTGAAAAAACGAACAACTAGAAAAAATAAAAGCTTTAAAAGAAACAGAAACGCAACGTACTCTCGGTTGACACCTTTTTCCACGAGCAGTACACACCAAACCTCTTGCTTTATTCTACCGGAAACAATACGGTTCCACCAGAAAGAAGAAGAGAGTGAGAAAGAAATGCCGAGAGTACGCAAAAAAAAAACACGCGTGGAATTCCAGTGTGCACCACTTGTTCGTTTTAACCTCCAGCTATCCAACAAAAGAACCTCGATAGCGTTAGGAGGCTTCAAGATTTTTTTCTTTTTTTTTAATTGCGAGTCCACTTGTGCGCTTTTGTTAACCTCGTTTCCTCGAGTGCGTGTGCGTAGATGCCACAAGCCTTACTTAAAAAATAATCCTCTTTTCCATTCAAACATATATGAGTTAAATATGATTAGCCGAAACGAAATTGAATAAAAAAGCGAATAAATAATTTGCTATCCCGCTACATTTTTAACGAGCTCAGAGCGTGTTTTTATTTTTAGAACCGAGAGCTGAATCGTTAATAATTGATGATACCGTAAATTAAGTTGACCAATGAGAGAGACATTAGTAGCTTATCTTATATTTGCTCATCCTCTTACCGATTTCTTTCCCCGCTTCCTTTGCCATCGTTCTTGATGAGGAAAAACAGGGATCACGAGCACATATATACTTTAGTAGGTAGTGAGAGACGTTCGTTCAGCCAGCAAATGAATTCGTAATCATTTACGGCAAAGCGCTCTCGACGTTCTCCCTATCCTTGCGTAATAGATGCTTATGTATACCAATGGAGCTTACACGAGCTTCAACTCTCATTCATTTGCGAGATCTTCGTATCATATCTTTTGTTAATTATTGATCAGATTTTTCCATTATAATTATCGATCTGGTTTTCAAGATAATGAAATACATTCAAAATGTGTGCTGCATAAAAAATATAATAACAATAAACATAAGAAACTCCGACAAACTCGACACATTAATGAACGCAAGTTTAACTAATTTTTTTCGGTTTGCTTTTCAGAGTTCATGGAAATGATGACTGGTGATTGAATGACTTCAAAATAATCTTAATACTGATCGTGTACATTATTATTGATATTATACTTATTTATTCATAACTATAAGAAGAAATATATAATTTTTAATTAAATAAAAGAACATTATTACCAATTTTCTCTTCAGTAATTAATTCTTTCTTTTAATTAAATGTACCTTGATTTTGATAAACCGAAATAAAAATAAATCCATTAATTCACCAAGATATCGTGTAAATTATTTAGCATACAGCTTCAACACTGTGGATTCACGCTACATATCTAAGCTCTTTTTACCAGGAGCTTACATCTACGAGTATTCAATGCAATTTTGATTGTTGATTACACATACAGCATGAAATAAAAAAATGCACGGAATAGTCAATTTCACTATTGGACATTGGCAAAATGTCGTATGTACGTGCATATCCCAAGATTCAATACATAACTATTTGTCTTGCGTTTTCTAGAAAATAACAAAGAAAAAAACTGTACGCCCAACGGTGCATACATTCATAAATCAAATCTCAGCACAGAGCTCCGTATGCATTCTTCCGACGAAAAGGAGGATATGAGATTGAAAAAAAACTGCATAACGCGCGCCACGCACTCTAAATAATAACAGTGACGTGCTTACAGAAGTTATTAGTCTGGCGAAGAATCTCTACATCCGATTTCCAATCTTTCTCTTTTTCTCTCGTATACAAATACAAGTATACGCTCGTTAAACCAATATCAGCTTTATTGTTTTTCTTTCTTTTAAACCAACTTGAAAGAAACATTACGTAAACAAAACAAAACAAAAATCAGTCGCGTAATATTAAATTTCCATCATATCCTTGTTTCTTACGACTTGTACTTTCGCGTGTGTGTGTGTGTATAAACTCGTGGACGCTTCTTCCTCGAGAGGTTTACGATTCGCGTTCGCAAGCGCTCGGTTACCGTAAATCAGTCGAGATTATTGATCTATCCTTCGGTCACATACTGCACTGCATTGTCGGCCCCTTTCTCCGACTTGGCGCTTATCACGACGTAACATTTGCGCGACTGTTTCGATTTTACGTTTATGGTATTCCTTCGCGTGGATTATGGTATTCCTCTCACCCAAGCCACCACACCAGATCTACACCACTAGAATTATTAATGATTCACAAGAGCTGCTGGTATGTGTGAATTGCCCTTGCGAGATCTGTATGTTAAACGTACGAGATGTGTTCAACCTTCGTTACTGCGGATTTATCGTACATATGTGTGATTTTGGAAATTGGAATTGACGTTAGTATTTCGGAGAAAATTATATGCCACGAGTTACGTCGATTACAGTCAAGTATGTTAATGCCGTCTATATTGGATATAATTATGCACAGAATTACGCAGAATATTCAATATACGAAAGGTTATTCAAGACAGTATAAAGATAGTGAAATTGTTAATTCTTGACTCACGAAGCGCGAGTAAGTCAAGAATTAACAATATCAAACTGTCTCGGGTATATTCATCAAACTTCACACAGAGCAATTAATAAACTCGACTAATACCGGGTCGTACGTTCACGCTGCAGCTTTTACTCAGTCGCGACCTCAACAGAGTATTAAACAACAACCTCTCTGGAGACACACGTAGCCGCAAGAGAGGAATTCAGATATCTTCTTGCACTCGAATGCAGGAGCAAATTTCAATCACCGTGTGTGAAGCCAAGTGTAACGATCGTGGACGATATATATGGTAAGGCTCTAATATCTCTCCTCTGTAAAGCGGCACTCTGCCCACGTCGCAGCTAAGTGGAAAACGATCTATGCGTCGCACGTATTTATGCCTAGTTGCCATGTGCTGCGCCGTTCTAATGTCACCACCTGCATTGCATATGGACCAGTTGAACTTACTACATCTGACTTAACGTTGATATGTTCTACTTGTATGTTTGGAAATTAGAATTTATTTTTATAGGATTGATGCTGCCCGTTATATTTATTATTTTATAGTATAAAATTAACACGAATCTGGAATTAGTCGAGTTAACGAAAAATTACATAAAATACATTTTTAAAAGCTTCATTTTCTTGACTATTTGAATTAATGCAGTCCCGAGAGATTAATTACTATTCGTTGATAGATGTCCTGATTAATAGAAACTTGGAATAGGAATTATTTGTGAAATAATAGATTACAGAGTATAATGAAAACGAATGAATCAGTAGTCGAGTGAGAGAAAAAGATATTCTTGTATCTCCATCTTCCGAGAATCAAGAGAGCGAAGCTACAGAGAGAGAAATGGGGGGAGTGAAGTGCTCGCATCGAAACAGTTCCGCAAGCTCGCTCTACACTTGGGCTTTTCGCAATAATCCCAGAGCCGGTCGGTTAGTGAGTCGGTTATACTGGAGCGTCTTGTTTTCCCAGTACCGATAATCCAAGCATAGTAGCACGAGAGAAAAAAAAAACAAAAACAAACAAACGAAAGAGAGAATGAAAGTAGGTCGTAAGCGCGGACATAGCATTTCGAAGTTCGCGTGTCTCGCGCTTTAAACTTCTTTCTTTTAGCGATTCGCGCACGAGAAACAAAAGAGATGTTTCACGGAGGAACTGTTGAATTCTAAATTGTATTGTCACGACAGTTGACGTTGTTCATCAAGTGTTCGCAGCCAACCGAAGGTAATTTAATTCATTCGAAGCAATAGTAACGTGTCAGAGGAACAGTAATGGTTTTGTTCTTCCTCGTGTAGGTTACATTTCTAATACTACGAATTTATTTTTTCATTAGATCACTGCAGTCGCAAGCGACTTTCCGGAAAAATCGCTTAACCACGTGAGGATCAATACAGTCGCTACAACTGCAATGACTATCCTTGAAAAATTTATAGCGCTCGTTGAAAATAGCGATCCGTCATTAGTACTGGAGTTTTTCGTAGTCATCCAGACCACGCATATCCTTCAAAGTCTAATTTAAAAATAATAAAGCTTTCTAATAAACGAGGACGCGTTTCAAGAGTATCGATACTTCGCCTAGTTTTCGACTATTTATTACAATGGTTTTTTTTCTTGCTGCCCAACAATTTCCGCGCATTATAATTTTTTACATTCATCTTCGAAAAATCCTGCGCGATTTATCGTCTCTTTTCTGAATTGAATAAACATTATAACTGAGAGGAAAATTTCAACAGAGTTATAGATATTCCTTGAAACTGAGAAGTAATTAATTTAGTATATAACACGTAAGCTCACATATTCGTACGGTTACAAGTAAGTCAGATAAAATATGGCTTCAAAGCATGAAGCATCGATAAATTACCAAAGCAAACAAGCCCAAAGTCACGTTAAAAGTGATTTCACCTGACCTAGTCTTGTGTGTGTCTGTTGCTCGTTGTTATTCGCTGAAATATTCATGATTCACAATTGTCAGTAGTGCAAGTAAAAGTGTACTCGCATCCAATATTTCGTTCTGATACCATTCAAAGCAAATATACAATTTCAATTTGCGTTGTATGTCAACTGGATACTTTTTACACATAACTGTATCAATTAAGTCATCGTTTCGAAATATGCTCCAGTAGTGCGTGAACGAAATCACGTTTTAAAAAGGTTAGGATACGTCTCGCGATAATCTTCCACTCTATTTTTTTTTTACTCATTCGAGACGTGAACAGCATTACGTGTGCAAATGATAACGAAAGGGTGTCGCGTCTCCTTTGTGCTTTTCGTGCTATCGGTGTGCGCTTGCTCTATATCTCAGCGCGCAATCAAATAAGTCTTATTTTCCATTTCAGTGGTAGAAGAAAGAGAGAAATATATCAGCGAAATGGGCAATGGAGCTGGAAATACACCTATCAATATTATAGAGTTGTGAAAGTCCTACGCGCAGTAAGCTAGCAATTCAACGGTAAGACGGCAAATTATGCAGGTAATTAGGATAAAATAAGAGCAACTATTTAGACGTGTCGCATACGTTACTGATACAAGGCCAAGAGGTGCGAGAAACAGACACGAATGGGAAAAGGGGATTAATAATTAAACTCGTGGCGAGTGGTGGGTATGTGTTCTCCAACACGGTCTCGCGCGCGGACTACACCTGGGGCATCGATCGACCTCGACAAACCCCGTCGACCCCTAACCTCACTCACTTGCTCACTATAACTCTCTAAGCGCTCTTTGTCCTTGTGTAGCTTTCTTTCTCTCTCTCTTTCTTTCTCTCTCTCTCTCTCTCTCTCTCTCTCTCTCTCTCTCTCTCTATCTCTCTATCTCTCTGCTCCTCTCCCTGTCGAAAAAGTAATACGAATTTTTCGGCGAGACCATCGCGATAGCAGCGGTATCATAGAGATCGATTAAGAAAATCTGCGCGTGATAGACTGGCTCCAAAATGAGACATCTTAAATTGAATGACCTATTTTAGAAGAAAAAGTGGCAAAATTATCAAAGTGGAATAGTTATAAATGAAAAGGTTAGTTTTGGTTAGCCAGAATACATAGTTTACGATGTAATTTGTTTTTTCTATTTTTCATGGAAACTTTGGATTTGTAACTGCACTATCAGCGGTTCTGATTCTTATCATATTATCTCTACTCGTCACTGCTTGAAGACAATGCAAATCATGCTGTTTCAGAGAGCTCGATAATTACGCGACAGAGTCGTTATATGTAAATCAGGATTCGTCCATCGCACGAACAGTAGGCAGAGCATAATCGACCAAATACTGCTGAAGATAAAGGGTTAATCATGCCCCTCGCATATGTTAAAGTTCTGTTAAATTTGCAACCGGAATGCTATAAAGCACAGAGAGACTTGTGCTGGAATCATTATACGTTGGGTGTAATTCAATGAGCCACACGCAACTATAACGAACTAACATCAGTGCTAATGAATATACGCATGGGATTACGGCATGAGTTCCAATCGCATAATGTTGTTAACCGCTAAGTCCAAATAGATAAATGTTTTAGAAAATTATCGAAAAGATCGATGTTTCATGAAATTTCCGGGAAAAATATAGTCCGCGCATGCATTGTTGTACTTTATATGCATTATGTATGTAACATAAATAAAGACATTTTCGAGATGAATTCCATTATCCTGGCTCGCGATAGTTTATTCTGCATAATGAAATTCTTAAGTCTATACGGAAACCAGCGGAGCTAGCCAGAGCCCTTGTAAGCTACATATCAAGGCACCACCGGCTGCCTACGCGATATAAACTGTTCAGGAAATTTTTCAGCGAACAATTAGGACGTCTAAGGAAAAGGACCAGCGGAAGTCGCCCGTATTTGCCTTTCTATTGTCTCTCACTCTATTAACGTCATTTTCTACTCGCGCATGATTAATTTTATCTCCGCACTATATATATATATGTATCTTTTTTACGCGTGGCCCTTCTTCTTTCTCCCCAATCGATGCGTCTCATTACACGTTGTCAAGAGAGTGGAAATGATGAGGGTCTTGTAGGTCAAGCGATGACAGATCAATCTGCCAAGATTATTGATCAAGATCACTCGACCGAAAATTAGTTACGTTATATTGGTATTGAATTCAAGCTTGTGTAATCAGGGAAATTAAAGTTTTTTAAAGTTCATCAATAATACAAAATCGTTAAATACGTATGAATCTTATGAATTAAATTTGTAAATTGATTGCTGGTGTTGACCTAGATTTTCGAATTTTCAGATGATTATAAGCTATTAAATCGTCCCTTGATTGTACCCCTTACATTCAGCTAAGTGCTGCACATGCAAAGGTTATTTGATGTATTATCAATTAACAACGAATGACAAAGGTAGAGCATACAATATCAATTATACCGATGTAGAGCACAACTTTTCCATTCATAAAATGACTCGCTATCGGCTTTCGATTTTTAACGGATTTAGAACACACGAGTGATTAATTTTTCAATGCGATTCGCTTTGTCCGACTATATCTGATTTACACTACTCAATAATTTTCAATTTCAACATTTAAAAACTATAGAACAATACATTCTCCAATAGGAAATAAAATCTTTACAAACGGTGAAGCAGCATTTCCAAAGCAAAAGCAACGAGCGTATAATTTTTTACGTAAAGTCTTGGCAAAAACATATCAAACTTTTCACAGTTAAAATTGCCATTTAGATAATACAATAATACTTGCATATACCCTTGATCAATATGAGCTATTTACTTGCTTAACAAACATCCCTTTATCGTCTGCAGATTGTAATTTTAAGGAGACGTTAGAAAATACAAGCCCTCAAGGGAGAGGGAGAAGAAACTATATAGTTTAGCGTTGAAATAGGTGCCCCGCCCAGGAATGAAAAAGAGGTGTGCTACAATCTTAAAAAGAATTTGGCTTTACCTCTTGGGGTCGCTGAAATTAAAAAAAAAAAAAAAAACTAGAATCGAGCAGCTCTTGCTCTTTTCGGTCAGCTGTTGCTCGAGTTAATTACAATGCGTGTGCATAGTGTTGCCACTCGTTGCTTGCGCTAATATATACAAATGGTGTGTTGCATGCATAGACTTGTTGTGTAATTGCTGTACGAGACTACCTCGTGAAATTAATCGTAAATAACGGTAAAAGGAAGGCCTAAAGGGAAAGGAAGGCCGAAGGGGAAGGAACGAAATTGCTGCTTAACAATATATACATAAGCCCGCTGCTTAATTAACAAAAACTTCTGTTGAAACGTTGATTTCGAACAAAATACTTGTTCCAGAGTACGCTTAAAAGAACTGTATTTGTTTTAAATGCAGCTGATTTAATTAGATCGAAACTTACTGACAGTGGTAGCCTTCAATAAATGATTTTCTTTTTCTTAACATAGTCGAGTGAAACTTTGTTTCGCGCATTATTTATTCGAGTTCTACTTTTTTTTTTACATATGACTGTATGTGCAGAAGTTTCTTAGAATTGAAAAATGTTTTTTAAACTAGAATATGATTGTTCTTAGTTCTCCAAGTTAGTCTGAAAATACTACTTAACATCTGAATGCTCAGTTTGGCCATAGAAACGGTTTAGTTCGATAAATAATAATTCGAAGAAATATACACTTCTGCTAGTTTCTTCAGGCGTACATTTATCATGTTTCTATATATGTAGAAGGTAATTTCGTTTGGAGAATACTTAAATTATGTAGACTTTAGCAACTTTAAAAAAAAAATAGCATTGGTTTTTCAGATTTTTCTAACTAGTTCTCGTGCTTTTTCGTACGAGATTTCGCGGGATTTCAGTGATCTATACACTACCTGATTCAATTTGAAAGTCGGTAAAAAGTCAAATCAATCAAGTGGTAATCCTTTCGATAGTAGTAGTAGTATAGAGAAGAGAAAAAAAATTAGAACAGCGACCTCACGACGGTGGCGTACAAGCTCCCTACCAACTGAGACTAGCGTGAAAGAGAAAGAAGCATAGGTACGCTAACTAATCGGCATGCAATCTCTTCCTGTAAGCTACTTGTTTTACATACGTGTGAAAAAGCACTCTTATTTCGTGTGTATAGTAGTGCCACGAAAAGAAAAATAAAAACAGATAAAGAGAAAGAGATGAGGGATATTTATGTTTGTTTATTTTGACAAACAGAGAGAGAGAGAGAGAGAGAGAGAGAGAGTTCGTGTATTCATTCGTTATACCGTGTGACATGCACAATGATGATGTTCTTGGTTCGCGCGCGTGCGATATCGATAAAAATCTCGAATCACACACGCGTGTAACGAGAAATAAATTGCAATTTGTGTGCGCCGCGCCGGCTGCAACTTTGCTGCAGTGTGTTGCTTCGAGTGTTCGTTTTTTCTTGTTTTGTTTCTTCGGAGCGAGGTATTTCGATACTTAACTTTAACAGCAGGAGACGCTGGAGAGGAGAATTTGTTTGAAAAGTATCGATGAAACTATACTCAAGGAGGAAAAAAAAGAGAAAATTAATGAAACACTTTTTTAACTTCTCCTCGGGAAGGAAGTTACTAACTTTAAATGGCTGCTATTTTGCGATCGTTAATCGATACTTTGGTTGAACACTTGTGCTCGTAGTTGAGTTCGTGACCTCTAATATGCTCATTTCTATTTATCGCAAAATTACAGCTATTTTAATTATGACTACAATTCCAAAGTAAATGGTATTGTTTCTATCTTATGTGAAAAACTAAAAATATAAAAGAAGTACAAATATGTATACCATGAATGTTACTAAATAAATAAATTGAATAGAATTGCCTTACGTGAGCATTTGATTTCACATTGACTCGAAACCCTCAACCCTTGTATACAGAGTAATAAGTATATAAGCATGTACATATCAGTGATTACTTTAATTACAATGTGCATTAACTACAAAAGCCTATGATCTAAAAAATGTATGCAACGAGCTACCTAAATGTGATTGAGTGTAAATCGACAAATCTATAAGAAAATATGTCTTCTGTTTTTTTTTCATCTATCTAAAATGTCAATTTTTCTAAGTAACGGATCTAAAAATAATTTTAGCCTCCTTCTACCGACTATGTAATGGCACTTGCAAAGGATTATAAACTGTCAATCGTTTTGTTTATATACCTGGCTCAGGCTTCTAAAGCTACTTGTACTGGCGCTGCGGGCCTGTAAACACAAGTACAGTACGGTTCATCACCACACAGATCATTGTTGAAAAAGGGAAAAAATATAGCTAAAATATCCAGACTACGAAAAAATAAAAAACAAAAATAAAAAACAAAAATAAATATGTAATCGACAATTTATATATCAGACATATTTTTTATTCGTGTGCTTAGACACTTGTTAACACAGGGCACATAGTTGTGCATGTATCACAACACTATACATATTATATTTGCACGCACGTATAAGAGATAGATAAAGTAAGACAAAGAAGTTGTGAAATATAACACAGCAACAGTGTACAGTGCACATAAAGAAAGAAAGACACAGTGTTTTGAGGCAGATATAGTGTAACGGAATTTATAAGGATATGCAGATACGTGTACACCAATACATACAGGCGACGCCTGAGGTCATTTAAGTTTAAGTGGCGCTTACACACGAGCGCGCGCACACATAACCATGATACGTGTACCTATAATTTAGGAGCTGCGCTCTCATCTTTACACACGTGCCTGTAGAATAATTTCCATGTATATGTGTTTCGGTGTAGTTTTCTATATATTTGCGTGCGATAGCAATTACCTTAAAGCTTTTTGTTGCTCAGCAAGATTGAGTGATTTCTTTAAGTTGGCCTTGCTGGAGAAATACTCTTTTACAAACTTACTTATTCTATTCGTCGCTGCGTTTATTGCGAAACGCGCGGGTATAACACGTGGCACAATTCGTCACTCTTTTCTTTATTTTTTAGCTAATGTATTTTTATTCGTTCGGCTGGCGAGACCTCTCGCGATACGTTGTCCGAATGGGGATAGCGTCATTTCCACTTTTAAAAATGGTTTGGACAGTAATTCAACTTTTTTACGACGATCATTGAAAATGGGTCAATATCAAATCGCAAAAGCTCTTGAGCTCTACTAAAAATCATCAATCCGTGAGATATTGTAAAGCACATCGAAGTATTATGCAAGAACATCAATATTTCGCTAGAAAATCGTGTGCGCGCTTGCGCGTGCGTGTGTCTATCGTGTAAGTTAGTTACGCCACACGTTATAGCATATACGTGTGTTACACGAGCTACTTGGTCTTATATCGGTGAAATAAGTTTTCCGTAGACTGCAAAGCTATAATAGCGCAAACTCGAGTAGAAAGTTCAGCGGATGCATTTTACTTTAGTAAAAGTAAGAGTTGCACGTGTCTGCGTGTATACAGTTGGTTCTGAAAAATGCAATAGGCCGTTAGCGGTTTAAATGCACGCGGGTCAAGGAAAAAAACTCACTCGGTTTTTTTGCCGTATACATCCAAGTGCAATGCCCGAGCGATTTTTCATCGACCTTTCGTCGATGCGTGTACGTTACTTACACTCGCAGTGGCAAAGATTGGATTCGCGAATAAATTGAATCATTAGATATTTATCCGTATTGGCAACGTTTATTTAATTTAGAACAACTTTTAAACCCTTTGAAAGAGTGACCGAGCAATTCAATTTTTTCTTTTGGAAAATCCAATGGTTTTATTTGAAAGCTTTGACGAGAAAATTAATTGGTGCCGTGACGAACATCGAAATGATCAACTATTCATCGACAAATTGTGTACACTCGTCGAGAGTTAATTTTATTTATATCGGCAGCTTTATACCTCACCTCCTTACGGTTCCGAACTCATGCTTTCATAAATAACTTTGGCGACAATAGTAATACGTAAATTTGTCATTAAATAAGGTCAATCTAACAATTTCATTATTCAAGTTTAGACGCACGCAATAAATCATCGAGATTGAAAGGAATAACGACAATAATACGGCGTGTACTGCACTGCACAATCTGACAGGTAATAAAAAGAAAGCACCCTCGCAAGCGATCTCGAAAGCAATCCGCGGGCAATACCAAGAAAAGTTTGAGACTGTGCAGAGTAGCAGCATCCGATCGTGGTGCGATGATCGCACTTTGATGTAACATTGTTGGCCCCGCGCAAACAACTTTAATTGCGCGCAAGAGTTACACGTTAGCAGAAAGCGCTCTTCATCGTCTTTCCTCCTCTGGCCATATCGATTTTACCGCCGCAGCTTATTCGCCTTAGTTTCGAGCTTCCCTCCCTTCGCTAGCGCTTCGCTTGCGATCATTAATCTAGCTGCCGCTCACCTCGCTCGATCGGCTGTGGCTCGCCTAGCAAACAAATAACATTGCTATGCGCTCTTTGAGTGCAAATATTCGCCGGTATCCCAAGTCCTATGTATAAAGGGTGTCAGTGTGCCAGAGACAAAGAGAGGGCATTCGATTAGTCGATGGTTTATTGGATAAGGCTTTTTGGACGATCTATCGTTGGTGATATGCTCCATCTGGTCTTGAGAATCTTCGATTAAATGAAGGGTATTTAAATATTCGGGACGTCAGTTTGGTTCATTTGTAATTTTATCACGGAAGTCCATACACTATTTTTCTAAAGGGTTCTCTAAGAGATAGAAACGATTTTATTGTGTCACTTTCAAAGGCAATCATGCTACGCGTAATTAGTTCATCCTCGCACTAACAAACTACAAACTTCATCGAGCGTACAACCACGATTGGTTCTTACAACTTTCAAATTTCTTATTATCGAAGAATTTTCGTGACCTACATTCACGCAAAGATTCTATATTCTCAAGTCGATCGTTTATATCACGACAAAACAACAGCGACACTGCCAACCTAAAAGTAACGCTGTAATTTCCCACGACAAGCAGTTCAATTACACGCTTTTGCTCTGACAAAATTAGGAGGTACCAAGAGAGAATTGGGAACACGCGCGCGCAACACAATGTAACCTTTGCCAGCTATAATCCAAGCACGAAAACGAAAGGATGCACATGCCGCGCAAAGGATAAGGAGTAAAAGTGAGAAAGAGAAAGAGCGCAAAGCGTTTCGCCTCGTCTCGCTTGCACCCCCCGCGAGTGAGCGAGCTTGGCCGCGCGCGAATCGATAAAACGACTTTCACCCGCTTGCAGCAGTAGCGGCAGCAGCGGCAGCAGCGGCGGCGGCTCCCAGATTTTCACGGATACGCCCGCCATCACCCCGACTGCGATGTACTTTTTCGGAGTTTTCCCCGACGTCTTGCGGCTGTGCTATTTCGGTTTCGATGAAATTTCTTGTTTGTTTCTTGGCCGATTTGCAGTGTTGACCTATCGATCGACTTTTATATTTTCAATCAATTATGTAAATTAAGATTTCACCATCGCAAAAACTATCACATTATATTTGAATGAAATTACGTTATGTAGTATATCTTTTGCTATAATTACAAAGAGTTAATCTTCCCGAGTCAATGGTTCCCGAGACCATACATCATACGGATAATTATAATTAAACGCTTTTTTATTTCTATATCGAATAAGCGGTTTTTATACTCAATAGATATAATTGCTAGCCAATTAATTTATTTATCCACTCATACTTCATAACCAATCGAACTCATTATCAGATGAAATCGAATATAATACCAATGAAAAGATGCTCGTTGATATTCCGTTCTAAATATATTAAGCAATTTTTTCGTAAGAAAAAAAGCACCAAAGTGTCATTATAGACCTCTTAATGACGAAAAAAAATGGTTATGACTATTTTCCGTACTTGCCTTCGTATATAAATAACGTTCTTTTTGGCTTTCTACCGCGAATCGGCTTAATATTAAGGAGAAGATTACAAAAAAGCGCCTATACCGCACGTGGAAGGATAAAAATGTGGATCGTTTATAAATTTCTCTTTTATCTGACTCTTTAAAGAAGCCTGTTCTCCGGCCGTAAGTAATCGCGCTCGTTAAGATCTGCGCCCGAGCTCTTGATCACCGAGTCACTACACCATGCCCGCTCGTCCTCGATTTCGGGGCTTTATCCCGCTGGGGTAATAAGCGCCCCCTCTCTACGAATATATATATATATGTATATATGTATGTGTAAGAAGGAGGGAGCGATTAAGCTGCACCTGCGAATGTTTGTATCGAGGAAGCAGTTTCCGTCCAAAAATGGAAATGAATCTTGCTTCGGCTCTTGGAATACTCAATGAGATCCTTTTCGTGGCCTTTCTCGTCTTTTCCTTACCTCTAGCCCTATCTATCTCTTCCCGGCTCGATCCATTGTCGATCGTTGACGTTTAGTCGATTGCGTTTCAATTTATTTGCGAAAAGTCAACAATTTCATCGATTTCACAAAGCTTTTTTATTTATCTTTCTCCCGATATTACTTTACTTTAGCTGCGAGAAATTCCTGTTGTGGTATAACATTACTTGAATTATACTTTGATACATTTTTAAGGAAACCTTTTCCTATTGAAGAAACGTTCTATTATTATTTCATGCCAACAGGGAATTACTTGCGTTACATAATAAATCTGGTGTTATCAAGACGTAAACAAATTTTATTTCCTAATATTGCTGAAAAAAAAATATATATAAAGCCTCTGACATTAGATTATACAATAACTTTATTTAAATATACATCTTAGTTAAAGTTTTCGCGTTAAATTGCAAATTTTTTTCCATCAAATAATTAGTCTTCAATCAAAGTTAAAGAAAAATAACTTTAAGGGTAAGCTTGATAAATGAAATCGCCAAAATCTGATTACAAAGCGTTACATGCATATGTATACTTGGCGAAGAAGAGCGCGCTTCAAGATTTTTTTTTTCTGGGGCATCAACGACAAAAGGCTTCATTAGCGACGTGGACTATCGTTGGATCACGATAAATGACTTTGCCTTCAATTAAAGTTTCTTAGCGAAGGCGCGAAAGAAAAGTGAAATAACCACGTGGTATCTAAAGACGAGTTCCAGTTTCTCCCCCTTTCGATCTAAATAAATTTTTAAACTACCGATCTTATGAAATTACAAGTTTGTTGCACGGGACTTTCAAGTAAAATAACATAGAAAGTTTTAGGTGAATTGATAAAAAGTATAATTTATTAATTATATAATCATTGACTTCTTTTTTCGTTTTTATTGTCAAATTTTTTCTCTATCGTGAGCTTAATCCTAACCAATTTATAACAATATTTTATAAATCACGACGTGATTTATCGTTACACAAATAACCATAGAAAATAATACAAAGATTCATCGCCACTCTATAGATCATAAATAGAGTGGAGAATATATATGGCGTGATAATTTTAAAAAAATTAACAAACCAAACTGATGTAACTGTTATCAGAAAATGAGCATCGAGATCGACAATATATCCTGTAAGTATACGAATATGCAAATTTACGACCCCGCGATTCTTACACGAAAACACAGCTCACACTGACATTGAAAAATATTCAGCGCAATTTTTATTTTTACTATCGCACGTCTTTGTATTGATATGATCTTGGAATAATCAAATGGTGTTAACCTTTGAATTTACTTGGCTTATATGACTAGAACTAAAATATATCGTAAAATTAAAAAATTACGATAAGAAATGTCAAGAGTGACTCGCGTGTGAAACGATATAACATTGGATCGAGCTGTACGATTGCGCACATGGCGTTTTTACGCCTGAAGGTTACGCATACGATATAAAAAGGAAAAGGGAGAAATTGCTGCGCTGCGGGGTGATCGCTCGCGCACCTCGCGTTTGCTTTTGAAAAGTAAACGCAAAAGAGCACAACTCGTATATCAGTCGCCTCAGGGCGCATATGCAGATATACATATGCGTGTCTTCGTGTATGTGTACAGGTGTGTTTACGTAGTGGATGGCAGGAAATGTCAGTTGACCAGAGCAACGACGCACGCGAAGACAAAAAAAAATGGGAAACGGACGACGATTTCGGTGTGTGTCTAGATAAAATTGCGCTGTAACACGTTCTCATTATTTACGGCCTTAACTGGCATTATAATGCGGCTTTACTCTTTTACGTCGTTGAATTGTAGATGGTTGAACGTTATTTAAGCTTTTATGGTAATTTTTTGTACGATCCATCTTTTTCTCGTATTTATATGGATATTTTTTAAGCTCGTTTTTAATGATGCATCTATATTTAAGCCGAAAATAGATGCTGAGAATCCAGCGAAATCAGCTTAATGAGCTTAATATTATATGGGATGAATATGAAAAGGTAAATTTAAATCAGTAATCAAATACTAATGATTCGTATAAATTAAAGCTTAAAAATACTTGTTTTAATGATAAAACTCAATTAAATGTCGAAAAGATGAATCAGAATTTTTCTCGTACATCAGGTCCTAAGGACAATCTTGACGCGATATTCCTTTATCGAATGTAAGATTTTTAAGTACATCCATCTCTCAGAATGTATCAACTCAACCTTATCAGTAACATTCCACTTAGATGATGTGTATACACACACACTTCAGGTAGCTAGTGCGCTTGTATAATAAACATACAGGGTATAGAAGATAATAACCAGAGATCTTTGAACTGTATATCACAACGCTCAATACTTCACACTTTTGTTGTATACACAGAACATTATCGGTGCCAATATCACGATACTGAGTGTGCTTTATCGACGATCATATTGTATAATCATAATAATGCAATATGTCGGAAACGGTGATAATTATGAGAAAAGAAAAGAAAGATAGCATGCGACATTACCTTGCTTCTATTGCGTGGTGTAAAGTCTTCCTTGCTAGGCTTCCTGCGTTTATCCTTGAGGATCATCCTCGCGGCGGCGAACGCCATCTTTGCTTTCGGTTCTGTTTTGTTTTCTTGTTCTTTCTGGCAAAAGAAGTTTACAAAACAGCAGCAAAACTTCGCTTCGAGACGTTCAAATCACAGCAGAGCTTTTTTTGTCGAAATTGTTCTTCTACGTACACGCAATTAGAAAATCAAGTGGAAGCTCGACGATATGTCGCCCAGCAGTTGCAGTAGCCCTGTTAACTCTTCCGATCCGCATTTGCCGTTGAAATCTACTTTCGTGAGAGATGACTGCTTCTATGTGGGTATGTATATTTTTTGTTAGTACTTGTGGGATTATTGACGTTTGAGGTTTGTGAAGAGAAAAAGACAAATGCTGCTGTTGTGACCCTACGTTGCGCGCGATTTCGCTTTCGGCTGGATCTTCATGATTTTCGCCTGATCGACGGCGAAACTTCGCTACTGATATACGGCCATGAATCTAAAAGAGAAATCATCTGTCGTAGATTTGTTTTTTATTTTTCTATTGTTGATTTTCTAGATGCTAACCATTTGTATATTTTAATCTAATGGTGTTTCCACTTGAATGACAATGTTACACAAAAACTTTTGTAAGAAAATTGTTTTTAGTCAGTTTTTTTTTCAATGTCAATGTTAGCGATATAGAAAAAAATATAACCATTTATATCTGTAGATTATAAATCAATGACGTCAGTAAAAAGGTAACTTTTTTAATGTAAAATATAACGACAGGTCTATTTAATAGTCTCTGTGACCTTAAAAAATCGAGATAAAACTGAGAAAAACGTTACGAATATTTTCTAATCATAAAACGGGTTAGGTCGTTAGAAATGCAAATTTCGCGCATTCGCTTGAAATGAGTGACTCTTTCCAAGTAAAAGACAATTTACACCTGGTAATCAAAGGGTAACTGAGCTAACCAGCTACCTAGCTGATGGAGAGTTTATGGTCTTTTAGCAAGTTATTGCACGAATTAAGCTGAAATTCCGCGTAAATAAAACATCGTAAATAACAGGTATAGCTTAAAAAGCTTCATTTTAAAATGTCACCATTTTCTAGTATAATCCTTAGAACAATCTTGAATTTATCCTCCTAAAGTTAAAAAGAAGTTTAAACTTTAAATTTTTTATACGTTGGCAAAGTATTATACTCGAAACTGAAAAAGCTTTTTAATCTTTCAAGCTTAAATCCCTTTTCTAATGATCGCTAATGAATTCTCAAAAAAAAAAAAAACCTTGATAAGTTTAAATCACTGTAATATATTTTTTTTAGAATCATCTATTTTCGTACTCCCACGTAAAGATAACCGAAGTAATTCCATCAAAGTTAAAATTGAAGTAAACTTCGTTGTTACACAAAATCCCATGCATCACGAGGCATCCAAATTTTGACTTCGTCCTTTGCGCGTGTTCGAGGATAAACCACCAGCAGCCCTAATTCCGAACGGGAACGAAGTGGTTTGTGCCCTCTCGAGTAGTAGTGCAGTAACGTCGGCTCGAAACTCCCCTAATTGAGTTTCGTGCAGCCGACGCCTCTCTCTACGCTAGAGTTTGCGCGTGCATACACACACGCACAGGCTGCTGGACCGAATCTACTCTTTGCGAACGTTAGCGTTTTCGCGCAATTAACGCTGATTACGGCAACTTTTTCTCTTCTTGCGGTCGGTAAAGAACTCCACGATGTTAGTTGGTGAAAGGGATGATCTTATGCAAATACGAGATGACTTGTAATTGATAATATGAATTCTCACGAGAAGAAAGTATATTCCTCTCGATTTGAAAGCTATAAAATTCAAAATTTTCTGTTGCATTTTTATCGGTGTTTATTTCATCAACATTCATTTGTTTTCTTTAATGAATCAGCTAATCTGCCTGTATTATACTGGCAATATTAGCAAAGTTTCACTTAGTTTTGCTTGGAATTCCACAAACCTATTTCTTCTAAAAATGTAGCTTCATTCACTTTGAAAATAGCAAGCTTAAATATCGCTTTCTGATTTATAATGCAGTTTCATTGCTCGATCATTCAACGTAACGTTACAGATGAAAAAAATTTATTCATCGTCTTACTTGACAACTTGTTAATTTTTTTTAAAATTAATTTTCCTTTGTTGGCTGTTCTCGCCTATCATAGTTTTATCATAGTTAAAGCTGTGCTCGATTCATAGATGCATTACAGAAAGAAAACAAATTTTGATATTTCGTTAGCGGATTCGTTAATTTTTTCAGATAATTTATTATGAAAAAACACTATGAAAAATAAATGAAACATACCAACACAAATTAAAAAACCAATTTAAAAAATAACAATTCGAAAATGTCGTGGACGACTAGCCTTATTATTATGATTCAATCTTATATACCCTGCTCCCAATCTTTAATCCGCAGTAAGCTGGTAATAAGATTATATACATTATTTAGTTTTACGGTATCCTTTTTATCATTAATTTTATGGAGAAACCTTAAAATTTTACAGTTTAAAATATTAAGAAGTAGCATTTTTTAGACCAAACGCTTCTACCAGTTAGATTCGAAATCCAGAATGCTGGCGCCGATCCAATCAAACTCGTGATTAAATTTTCGCATGTGCATATTTATGACCGCATCCTTGTTTTTATTCTTATGTGCATTAATGCGTGTTTTCAATGTCCGTTCTGTTTTCTCAATTTATACTTCATCGTATACTTTACAATTCCATTTTTAGACTATATTGGATCGGTCTATATTCGGAGTCGTCTCCTTACTCAATCTTACTATTACACTCAACGTTTTGTTTAATAAGTAATTTTTTAAAGATTTATTGGTATCAATAAAGGAAATTTTCTGTAGTTTAACGTTTATGTGTTTTGAGATGAATTGTAATGGTTAATAATTGTTCAATAAAACATCAGCGATATCACATCTGGGTTTACTAACTTGTATACGATATTCTTCTTATAAGATACTAGATGGTTCTATAAAAAATGTATTAGTCTACTTGATAAAGTTGAATTAAATATAAATTCGTTAAAATTCTGTTATCTTTTCTAATAACCGTTTTAAAAACTGTAAAAATTTCTGAAACTCAATTCTTTAAAATTGAAAATATAGATTTTTCTAACATTTTTTTCATGCATTTCTTGAAACAATTTATATGGATTGAAAACAGCTTCAACCAAGTTACGAAAATTAACTTTGTATGATTATGTTCTATTTTTAATTTATAAAAAGTCAAAAAAAAACACTTGCTTTCTCGAAAAGTTTAAATAGCAAAGATTATATCTCTTGGTCGAAATTCAAAATCCAACTTCGTATGTCCCTGAAGATAAATAACGAAAAATTTGACAAAAGGCCAAGCTCTTCAATTTTATCTTTATTACTATATCAGTAGTCGCTGATATTCAAATGTACAAACTCCACGGCAGAATATACAATATCAGAAAATAAAATAAAATTTGAGTATTTTTAATAAGTTTATCAAAATTGCAAAAAAGATCTTGAAACATTGTTGCAGCCCTGTTTCATCCGAAAACGTGACTTTTTTGTATGTTCAATTATAACAGGTTTCACGCACAGTGGGTTATCGCGGCGATGTACACTTTTCGTGCAATTTATTTTTATGACATCAGTTTTTCCGACACGACAAGTCTATGAAACTGCGTTTATGGGCAATATTTCATTGCCATTTGTAATTGTTGTGTAGCCAAATACGTGAAGCAGCAAGAAATGACTTTTGCGCAAGTTAAAATAAATTTTCAATTTTTAAAATTATACAAGCGAGCGCAGCCCGGAAACATCCTTTGCAAGCTTGAGCTCATAAATTGCCGACACACTTCGACGCTCATCAAGCAGCACCACGCCCCGACAGTAAAGTAGACGAATGTTGCTGTACTACGTGAAACTTCTCTTGCCGCTAGCCAAAGAAAAGCGCTACGATGTCCTAGAAGTGTTAAAACATATTGATCTTTAAAAGCTTTAAAATCGGGAAACGAACATGTGAAATAGCCAAATTTTTGAAATTCCAAAAAAGAGGCTAACATTTGAAAGATTCAAGTAGGTACTTGACTTTTTTTGCTAAAATTAGAATGATGAGTTCACGTAGAAAAGGTATGTTCTGATCGATCACTACTTAAATGTATTAGAATTTTGTATAATTCATACGTGGGTAAATACGCATACAAGAGAAAAGATTATTACTATTGAATAAACCTAGATGCTCATATGCTTGTTAGCATTAGTTTCCCGACGTATAATGAGCTTATATGCTGAAATTACTCATGCATAGTCGATAGACGCCGACGCATCAAACTAGAATTATTTATGTTTCAAGAAAATGGAAAACTTCACGTTTCTGCGTTCCTGCGAGTAGTGATATCGATCGGCAAAAATAATCTACTTGAGCTTCTCTCTCTCTCTCTCTCTCTCTCTCTCTCTCTCTCTCTCTCTCTCTCTCTCTCTCTCTCTCTCTCTCTTAATAGCTCTCTAAGTAGAGATTTCTTTGAAGTTATATCTTCACGCATTTAAAGTAATATCTGCACGTGTGTGTGTGTATGTGTGCGTGCGTGCGTATGCACTGGCATTTCTTTTCAACGGAAAACTCTCGACTTCGCTTCTCTTTAATAATTATACTTTTCTCACTCAATAAAGTAAAAAGATTCAAGAAAAAAAAACATAAAAAATAGTTTTCGATACGATAGGTATGCAAGTATCCTTCAAAAAACAAGTTTGTAGGCTAAAGGGAAAGTAACGTGCGCTTATGGGTTAACGACTTTGAGTCACGCGGTCGTGATAAGCCCCATCTGACTCATCGCACAACTGCATTTCTCATCGGCCTCGAAATCTCTCGCTCTCGCGCTCTCTCTCTCTCTCTCTCTCTCTCTCTCTCTCTCTCTCTCTCTCTCTCTCTCTCTCTCCGTATCGCAATTGTACACCGTTGAGTGCTTACCTGGCTAACGCAGCTGTTTACGAGCGCATCATTTCACGGAGTTAATATACCGCTTGGCTTTAGCAACTAGGTTGTATATTGATTGAGGGTACTGTTGCGAGCGAGAGATGAGTGATTGATACACTGTAACTAGCAATGTATATAATATTACGTAATATATCTCAATTCATCGATCAAATGTTTTTTACAGCGCGCAAATATGTTACGATTTATACCCTTATAAATAACGAAGCTTCCTCTGCCTGACTTAACTCTAATGTTTTCTACTTATGCAATGATTAAGCGAATGCTTGGATTTTATATTACGTATACTCAAGTTATCTTTGCATGGTAAATAGTTTTCATCTCTATTGTTCTATACCAATATGAATTTGTTATATAAAAACTAATATTAAATAAAAGTTCAGAATTACTTTGTATAACTTTTTTCCTTTGGCCATGAACTTCTTCATTATACCGAAATGAAAGGATTTGCAATCAAAGTTCAACTTTACACAAAAAAACAATACTTTTTTAACCAAAGGCTGTAACGATTTA